TTAGCTTTTTCCGGGATTTTTGGTTTCTGACTCGATCGTTTAAAGCAATCATTTCGTGATTTCTTTAAGAAATAAATATAGCTATATTATGGACAAGTTTCGGCGGATAATGCACTCTGGTCGAAAGCTGGGCCTATGGTTTTTACCGGTAAGGGGGTCATTTACGAAACCAAAATATATTCGAGTTTCAAACCTCTCAACGGTCTTTCGATTCCTTTCTACGCCATTGTAAATCAGCTGTTCGGTATTTTGTAAGAAGTCTTCTGATTGGCCAATAGCAACGAAACCGCAACATTTCGCACAAGGATGCCTAATGGCGTAGAAAGCAATCGAAAAACCGTGTAAAGGTTTGAAACTCGAATTTCGCTTGTATCAAATGCTACTGACGGTTGTGAGTGGTCCCGTTTAATGTATTTATTTAGTAAGATTATTTAGTAAATTCAAGTGATTTTGACCCGTACTCGGCTGACAAACATATATTAGTCTATGTTTACGTGGTGTTTTTAATTAGCTGGACAATTGTTTTCACAACGGCCCGGGAAATGAACCCCTTGCTCGTAGACTCGAATCTGGAGTTTCCGGCCTTTTCTTAACTTATAGTATAATTTTAAGGGGGCACATATTTCCCTTTTTTTGTTGTTTTTTTATGAACACAGAGGTTTTTTGTTTATCAATGTGGTCATATTTTCTTCCCAGGTCCGATACTCGTGCATGTGATAAAAAACTACCAAAATGAGTAGTTTCGGGTAAATACCTAAAAATACTGATCATTTCCTACACACAAACAAGAAAGAAATACAATGAAAGAAATATTAAAAGTTTTCAGTACCCTCAAAACACATTGTCAGTGTTATTAGTAAATTTGACCGGGCCATAGTTCAAATATGTCCTGGGCCCATAGATCAAATATGTCCCGGGGCCATAGTTCATATATAACCCGGGCCTTATTTTAAAGTACGATACAACACTTACAATGTTTCCAAATGATGTTGACCACCATCGTAACTCTGTGACAATTATTTAAAGAATTTTCCCATAGATTCATCGTTAATTTCATGAAAAAAGATGCATATTTGAAAAAGGACCTTTTGAAAATTTGATGATGATTATGATATTGACTCGCATGAAAAAGGAAAACTAAAATCAAACTCATTCACGATTGAACGATGTTGTTGCAAAGAATTTACATCAGTTTGTATAAAAGGATTTTAATAAAAGATTATTATTATTATTATTATTATTATTATTATTATTATTGTAATATTATTATTATCATCATTATTATTATTATTATCATTATTATTAGCATTATCATTATTATTATTATTATTATTATTATTATTATTATTATTATCATTATTATTATTATTATTATTATATAATAATAATTTTTTGGACAATTTTTGTTATAGCTTTACAAAATCCATTAACGAGCAGTCTTTAAAGTGCTCTAGAAAAAAACGCCTGTATATAAATCTTCCATCAATAAGACAATACATTTTGTCTCTCTTTATGTATGTAGATCTACATGTATATTATTGGGGTCATTTGTATTATGGCTGGACACGCTACACTTGTCTTCCGTTTATTTATGAAAGGAATAAACATGATTTTCTTAAGTATTGGTATACTGAGTACATCTTTTCATGCCAAACACGACTACTCGCTTTCAGAATAAAAGGCGTTTGGTCAACCCAGAAAGAAAGAAAGAAAGAAAGAAAGAAAGAAAGAAAGAAAGAAAGAAAGAAAGAAAGAAAGAATGAAGGATTGAAGGAAGGACGGAAGGAAGGAATGAAGGACATGTATCTACTATTTATTTATTTATTTATTTATTTATTTATTTATTTATTTATTAGTTAATAAACACTGTTACATTGTAAAAAACACGATCGTTTTACACATCAAAACGTATTAAAGATGAATTGCTTTGTTAAGTGCATTGCTAACTTGATATATTTAAAAAAAAAATAAACAACCAAACTTTATTCCGGCTTCACATGTGTTATGTATGATAAAAAAAATCTCGCATCTGGCATTCAAAGCGGTTGGAAATTAAAATCTATTGTTAGTATCCATAATTTATGCCATGTGGTATGTTTCAATGGACGTAAGTATGTTTAGAATTTACTTAAATGAAATAAGAATTTGTTAACCGAAAAAAGCCAACAGATATAATGGAATGTTATTCAATCTGAATATTTTAGAAATAACGCTTTTTCAATTGTATAGTAAAATACTACATGGATCCGCCTAATACTTAAAGGCTCCCCGCGTCTTTGATAATTTAAAACTCCTGAATCTTATCTGCTTTTTACTAATAAAATACAAATAAGAATTGTTACATTTGTAATAATCATTAAGCGTAATTGCCTTTTTAATACGAAATATTGTTCGCTCAAAAGGTTATACAAAACATTCATTTTCCTTGCAAATATTGAATTTCATAAATAATTCAAATATTTTTCTTATAAGTTCTAAACTATGTCTCCTATATATTCTTAATAACTTTTGTGATCTTTGTATAAAATAAAACATTAATTATAAAAATACACATTTTAAAACATTACAAATAAGGCAGACTCTCTAGTTATAAAACTAGGTTACGTCAAGTTAATTGGTTAATGCTGAATAAATTTCTCTTTAGAAAAAAATATTTTTAATCAAAATTAATTGGCGCCGGAAGCCCGAAGAGAAAGGACGCCCAATTGAGAATAATTTAAGCATTTTTTTTTTAAAAAAAGAGAAGAAAATATGCTTACGATGGGGTATGCTTTGCTTTAGTGTTTAAGGTAGCATATAAGGTTGTAGGAAATTACTCTGTTAAAAATTGTTGTGCATTTATGAATAAATAAATAAATAAATAAATAAATAAATAAATAAATAAATAAATAAATAAATAAATAAATAAATAAATAAAGATAAAATATAACAGTGCTTCTTAGAAACAGAACAAAAAAGTTGTTCCTGTCGCCAGTTGGTTGCTAGGACCACTAAACAAAAGTATTTTTTAACAATGTTTCTGCCCAGCATTAAACACGAATCTTGAAGGCAAACGCAGTCATAACTATAAATCTACAGCAGTCATGATATTTACTGCAAATCTGCAGCAGTCATGACATTTACTTTAGGTCTACAGAAGTCATCACATTTACTATAAATCTACAGCAGTCATAACATTTACTGTAAATCTACAGCAGTCATGACATTTACTATAAATATACAGCAATCATGACATTTACTATAAATATACAGCAGTAATGACATTTATTATAAATCTACAGCAGTCATGACATTTACTGTAAATCGACAGCAGTCATGACATTTACTGTAAATCGACAGCAGTCATGACATTTACTATAAATCGACATCAGTCATGACATTTACTATAAATAGACAGCAGTCATGACATTAACTATAGATGGACAGCAGTCATGACATTTACTATAAATATACAGCAATCATGACATTTACTATAAATAGACAGCAGTCATGACATTAACTATAGTTAATGATTAACTATAGATGGACAGCAGTTATGACATTTACTATAAATATACAGCAATCATGACATTTACTATAGATGGACAGCAGTCATGACATTTACTATAAATAGACAGCAGTCATGACATTAACTATAGATGGACAGCAGTCATGACATTTACTATGAATCGACAGCAGTCTTAATATTTGCTACATATCGACATCATTCTTGACATTTTCTTTCTTTACATATGCTTCAGTATATTATTATCAGCTGTCGTGACGTTTACTAAAAATTGACGGTAGTTGTGATTCACTATAAATCGACAGCTTGACATTTACTATAGATATGCTGCAGTTATGACATTTACTGTAAATCGACAACAGTCGTGATTCGCTATAAATTTACAGCAGTCATGAAATTTACAATGAATATACAGCCTAGTGGTCTTAAATATGAAAATAACATCATTTTATTTCTTTTTATCTACGGACAGCAGTCATTATATTTACCTAGAGTTTGTCGCAGTCATGAATTTTACAACAAATATACTTCCAGTTTAAACTGACTGCAGTCATGACACTTTCTATAAAGTTAATGCAGTCGTGACATTTGTAATATGTATACTGCAGTCATGACATTTACTTTAAATCTTCATCAGGTGTGATATTCATTTCATAAATCTACAGCAATCGTGACAGTCACATAGGCAGATAAAAATCACGAAAACCCTAAATATAGCACGTTTTATTTATAAATAGAAAAAGAGAGCTTCTGACATGATTAAAAGCCTGAAAGTCATGAAAAATACCTGTAAACTTTCACCCATAAAGTCATGATATTTATTCTTTTTTATAAATAGAAAATAAGAGAGAGCATCTGAGAGTATTAAAAGCCTGAAAGTCAGGAAAAATTCCTGCAAACTTTTACCCATGGAGTCATGATATTTATTACCAAATATGCAATGAAATAGACTGATTTTCCAGAGACATGTCCCTTTTTCTAGAAGGTCTGATACTGGGCAGTCTAAAATATTTGATCGGATAGGAAAACTTAAGTCGTATTAACCAAGTACATTGTATATGCATGTACATCTCTGTAAGTATCAACATACTTGTCCAAATGGTGCCCAACTTATAGTCCAAACATCCTATGCATAAAATAGGGCCAATTGTGCACCTTTGTTATTTAAGCTCGATTGTGAACAAGTTCATGTAACTTATACATGTATTAATCACTTTCGAGTCTGCTTCCCGGAACCAGCCAGTATTGTTGTCTTATGAAGAAACATGGTCGAGACCCAATAAGGGCTCGAACCCATGATCCCTGGGTTGAAAGGCAAACACCTTAATCACTAGGTCACCGCTCCCCTTAAGGGCCATATTCAAAGCAGATTCTAAATGTATTTGTTTAAATTCAACGGTAAAATTATTAATCTTCCTAAAGATGAATACGCTATTCATCTCTTTATCCTAAATAGAAAACATCTTATTCGAAAATGTAAATAATAAATAAATACCATTTTCGCATTGCGCATTTTTGTGGTCCATAAAGCAGGCGAGATTTTCAAATTTGGCGCCACACGACTCACATCGGAATATCTCGGTCTTTAATACTGTGTCCTCCATTTCCTTTGAAATAAGGTTTTCATTAGTACGAGTATCATCACTGAGTAGCTTCATTTTCTTTTGTTCTAAAAATAAAATCACAAAACATTTTTGTTAAAACAGGCAAAAGTGGGTATAACTACATGTATATAGATAAAACGTCACTTTTTTCTTGATTCATTAGACAGATGGGCAAGACCTTAAAGAACGGGAATATAAACTTTTAATTGGAAAAGTGAAATACTTTGATGTCTTCTAACATTTGCGTTAATAAATATTGAAAAGGCAAATTATGCCTCGGAAATTGTTTCATTTTTACTTCTTAAGTAGTATATCGTTTAAATAATGGTTTTAGAATATTTTAGATGCTTGTTACCTAAGGAAAGAAACTATGATATCACATATCTAAGTAGCTCTGAAATATTTGATACTAAGGGAGGTAATAATATTCACTTGCTTGTTTGAAATATCTTATATTCAGGGGAGGTAAGCGGAAAAAATACGTATTCTTACTAGGACATGTTTCTTCGTCGGGTATATCTGTTTCTTCCTCGTCGTCCTCACCTGAAACATATAAATCAGAGTATATTTTACCTGAAATATATAAATCAGAGTATATTTCGCCTGAAACTCGTAACACCAGATAAATCAAAGTACATTTCACCAAAAAGACATAAATCAAAGCACAATTACTCAAAACACATTAATCAGAGCACATTTACTCAAAACACATAAATCGAAAAATACTGCACAATCAAAAATACTGCACATGAAACACATACATCAAAGTATATATGCCAAATGAAACACGTAAATCAGAGCATATTTCACCTGAAACTCATAAAAATCTTCATCAGAAACACATAAATAAGATTATTAATATATCACCTTAAACTCACACGTAAAATCAAATTTCATCTGAATCACATGTCATTGTTCTCATTTAAATCTGAGTACATTTTACCCTCAACACATAAATCAGGGAACACCTCACATGAAACTCACAAACCCGAGTGCGATTCACCCGAAATTCACGAATCAGAGTACATTTCACCAGAAACACATAAACCACAGCACATTTACTCAAAACATATAAATCAGAGTATATTTCACCAGAAACGCATAAATCCGAGTACATGTATATTAAAAATTTTACTCTAAGCATACAAATCAGAGTACATTTCACCAAAAGTATAAATTTGAGTATATTTCACCAAAAAGTATAAACCAGAGTATATTTTACCAGAAATGTATAAATCAGAGCGCATAAATCAGAGTATATTTCACCAGTAACACATTAATTAACCATAATATGTCACATGAAACAAATAAATAAGAGTACATTATATTTCACGAAACAATAATAACAAATAATTAAGAGTATGCGCACGTATTTCGTCTGAAAAGCATAAATAAACCATAATGTCAGATAGAATAAATAAATAAGAGTATATTTCACCAGAAATACATCAATAAACCATATGCCACATGAAACAAATAAATAAGAGTACATTACACATGAAACAGGCATATTTCAGTACATATTAACCTGAATCAAAACAAATAAGTATATACATATTTACCAGAAAGACACACCTCACAAGAAACACACAATTTCTATATATTATTTAAATTTAGATTTACAATCTAAAAATATTTCACCGGGAACACACTGTCACAAAGCACAAATGCATTATTTTGCACATAAATTAGAGAATATTTCATCTGCACTAGAATTACCTTCCACACAATAAATTAATGTTATGCGATATATCGTACACATATGACAGTATTTCACCCGTTGGAAAGCGGTAAATATTGCCCTCTCACATCAAAAAGAAACATGAAAATTTCAGTAATCAATAATATGTAGCTTTATAATATTTAAAGAATCTATTACAGTAAAGTCTGTTAACAAAGGACATCGGAAGGAGATGCAAACATGGCCTCTATGGACAAGTGGTCTTTATTAGAAAGTAATTTTGTTCTATTTAATCAACGAAGGTTGGTCGAAAAGTGGTCTTTATTCACAGGGTGTCAGTATTCAGATGTGGTCTTTAACACACGTTCGACTGTACTTTGATCTTTAATTCGAAGAAAGGTTGTTTTCATGAATTTGAACTTAATCATCTTTCCAGTATCGATAATTTCCGAAGTTAGGCGGCAAGAATTGAAAGATTTCTGTGAAGATCATAAATTATGTTCTAATTACTATTAGTCCCACCTTTTCATATACGTACATTGCAAATATGGTGATTTAAAAAAAATACAATAATTTTTTAATGTATGACACTATAATTGTACTAATTGCCAAACGCAACAGAATAAAAAGATGGTTAATAAGTATCATTATGTAAACTACAAAAGTACACAAAAAATAAAAGCTTTCGAGAAATGGAAAATAAAAGCATTTCTGGGACATAGTGGGCCTTTTAACATAATCGAGGACATGCATTATCGACGAATATATGAAGCAACTGCGCAAAGTTATACTATTATCAACTTCATGTAATCACCTTATTATATATTAGCAAAGGGTTCAGGTCCTTTCCTTCATTTATTTACTAAAGCCAAGTCAAGCTGATATTCATCCACCCCTTCTAACCTGTCCCATTTTTGCTCGTAGAAACAGTCCAATTTTTTCAGAGAGATCAATCTTTGAAAGTAATGGCAATTAACTAAAAACAATTTAAAGTGACTTTTAATATGGCGGAACTGGATATTATATTTTCGAGATTAAAGCTCAAGTAGATGTATGTCCAACAACTTGTGTGCAAAAATTCAAATCATTCGCTCACTCCGAGTTTCCAGAATAATTATTCAAATTGTAAAAAAAAACGACACAAAATTGAAAAGCGTTGCAACGTTTTTCACTCGAAACTGGCAAAGAATAGCTTAAAAAATAGGATTTTCTGTTCATTTCTGAGTATATTTCTTAACAATGTTTAACATATATTTCTGTTTTAAGTGCCCCAGTTGGTCTCTGCAAGAAATTCTAAATTCATGTTTTTGGACCTCAGTGGAGTTCCTTTAATTTCAATAAAATCTTGAAGCGTTGCTACAATGTACTTTTTTCTCTGTAAAATATTTGGAATGATTAGTATAATGGTAGTAGTGCTGATATTTTTTCTTCCGGGTCACGGCAGTAAGCCATAATGATTTGTCATTATATACAAGTCCCAAAGTTGTATGCCCGTAATAACCTCCCCTGTTCTTCTCATGTCTAGTTTATCAAATAAGGTGACCGAAAATCTTTTGAAAAATAAATCAAAGGGAGATAAATATGTGTACATGTATCTTTATACAACGGTAATTTATGTTTCTAATATCTAAGGGTTTTAAATCGTTTTATAATAAGTTAGTTTTTGACTTATGCAAAGGTTGGTTTGAACGGTATACACTTAAAAAAAAACTATTTATTTGTAATTGTCAAATCGTTCTTAAATATGCGCCTCAGTTCACATAGCGGTAAGAAAATAGCGGGAAAGCAAAATTCCCCACCTTACATGTGGTCAAAGTCCCGCATAAAGTGATAACAGGGGAGAATTTGTTTTTTTAATAACACTGTACATTCAATTTTGACACGAAATAATATGTAGATCAACTTATTATGAATCATAACATTTTGTGACAGTGTTTTTCACACTTTTTAACAGTACATGAAACATCCGTTTAGACATAATAATTTTCTGATGAGCGGATTCGTTTCACGTCACATTGACACTTGTGCAGGGGGCATTGATGTACCCACGGGTCACAGTAAAATGAAGGAGTCCCCAAATCTTAAATATTGTATTCTATTTCCAAATAAAAAAAGCGCTTAAACAAAATACAGTAGAGCACATGTATTGAGTTGATATTGTAAGCCATAAATAAAGATTTCAGTAGTTTTATCCTCTTAAAAGTAAAATGAGAAATTTCAAACAGCTGATAATTGTAAAACCTGAACGGATATCATTTATTTAACAATAGAGAATTACGCTCAGCTTATCGCTTTTGCTATAAAACACACCCCTGTGCGCCTGTTAATCTTAAACCGAAATTTCAAGTACCCCCGTCCCGCCGTTTTATATTTGAAACATTTTTAGGTCCCCTGGTAAACAATAATAGCCTTGCCATGGTTACACAGCAAGGGTTCCGATAATGAACCTCCCCAGGGGTTCCGCTAGATAAAGCTAAAGCCTACAGGTGTATGCATGCTCACTCCACGTTCATAGAGCTTTTTCTCATGGGCTTTCAATGGAATGTTTTATCATCGTCAGTTTATATATAAATTTCTGTAAATAACGTTAGCTGACTTTTAACAAAACTATTCAAGATCTTCAATTAGTTTCAGGCCTAAATTGCCAATCTTCGCATGAGGTCGGCAAATAAAAGTGTCACTATTTTTAAAGGAATAAACCGACTGTGTTTATAAAAGTATTTACAACATATATTCAATTGCATAAAGTTTACGAGAATTTGACGAGAGCGTGCAGGGGGGAAATGTAATACTGTTACAGATGGTCTTTTAGTTATGCAAGTAAAATGAAGACAAAAATACTCGAGAAAATTGCTTTTTTGTATTAACAGATACTATATTATCAATGTGTAGGTGTTATTGGCAGCAGATAATATCCGATGCCCAAATACGAAAGAGTTCCGGACTTTTCCCTTCACCCTACACCACCCCCCTTAAAACGAGTTTGTTTTCCCCTAAATATTGGTAACCATAGGCTTACTTGGTAACCAAGGGCTTCCTTGGTAACCACGCGCATTTACCAGCCTTGTAAACTGGTAACATATACTAGTACATATTCCACTATCAAATACTAACGATTATAAAAGAATGCATAACTGGACATGCGATGCCAAGGTGAAGAGTTCGGTCGGGCTCGAACACATCCTGAGAAATTAAATGGACCGACTCACGGTGCCAGTCCGGGATGAGATGACGTGAATGGCAGTCTTTTTCAGGAGCTACACTTTTTGAACTGGTTGTAAATTTTCCAGGTGCTAGAACAAACATCTGTTTATCTTTTAATTAACCATAAAACTACCCGATCAAACAGACTCCTAAACGTGATAATTTTATTACATATATTTTTTCTGGCTTTAGATGATAGGTAATAATTGTCAACAAAACTGAAAACGAAAAAGGGTGGACTACAAGAAGATATCATTACAAGCTGATAAGTAATTTCCTCAGTCAAAAATATACACTGAACTCTATTGTCAATATAAGTTGGTCAATACTTAGTGCTTAACTATATTTATCCATGCTAACTTTGAGTCACGGACGTTGGTACTGCCAAGTGAGATTTTTTTTAAAATAGGAATGTTCAAATTAAGTTGTCACAGTGTTCGTACCGAGTAGAGTCGGACCAGGCTGCGCGGCCGTGCACCTGCTGATCGAACTCTAAACGCCGTGGTGTTTTGGCAAAGACTTTGTCAAACAACTGAGATAAACTAATTGATACTTATTTATATTGCATTTAGCGTTTCAAAAATTTCATCTGATTAATTTGATTTGTTTTAAAGAAAAAAAGTTTGGCACATTAATAGGAACACTGTTTATTGGTAAATTACAATAAAAACAATTGGGAAAATATAATTATAATGAAACTTTCGTAGTTGTATTCTAATTGTAATTTGATATTCTGATTCTTGATGCATATACATGTATACATTTCTATATATTAAGATGTATTATTTACTCAAGACTTAAGTTAAGGACGTGAGATACAAGGTGAAGTGTATGCAACTTTAATCTAAGAACACAATGTAAAATATACATGTATATCAACTGTGCGTTCCTGTACTATGACTCGTGCCCAAATAATAAATAAATCAGTAAGAAAAGAACACCATCTGTCCTGTATCTGACATACTTTTTTTATACAACCCCACCAAGAAAAAGTACATTCAAATTGTCTAAATGTACGTATGTATATATAACGTCATTTTTCAGTGTGTACTTTTAACATAACAGTGCTAATTCGATATAATACATGAACGAAAATGGCACGAATTATATCAATAACTCATGTGCATCACAATTAAAATATATCATAAAAACAGTATTTTATATGCGAGTGACACATAATTATATAAAGTTACTGTTAGTTCAAATTCAAAACGCATACCGAAAAAAAATAGTATTAAAATTTAAGTTCATTACTATTCGCAAAATAGTAATAAAAATTTACAGTAGATCTATAATAATGTTTTGTATACTATATACACATTTATATATTGTGATCTAATCACAACTATTTTACAACTAGAATCTCACTAATTATTGTAGTTTTTAACGACCACTTTTATCAGATAAAGTACAATATTAAATAAACTACTTACGTTTTATAAGTCTTGGTCGTGCTTGTTTTCTTCGTGACATTTTTCCTGCGTAGCAAAATATAAACGTATAATATCCACAGTGAAAATAGAAAGTCAGAATAATGTCATTTAATTTATTAGTAATCTCCAGGTGTGCTGGTGACACTCGCAGTAGCAGACGATAAACTTTTGAAGCTAGCGCGGGAATCGACCCGCGCGCTATGCGTTTATAAAGTCGTCTGCTTCTTCATACTTTCGTCTGCTGGGCGTTCGTTATTCCACGTTATTGTATCCTACTTTGCGATACAAACTCAGCACGGGGTCCCTAGAGTGTCGGAACATGAATATTGAATATTCAGGAAAATCTAGCGCCCCCTGGGGATTACCCGCTGGGATCGACGCTTTTCATCCTACCCATTCTCAATCAAGAGAAAGCAATTTGCAATCGTATGCCTCTAAAATCATTGTGAAGAAGTATTTTCCCAAATCCCAGCGGGCTAATTATGTCCACAGCTCCATTGAAATTTTAGCTAGTCGCTATGCGTACACATCAAAATGTTCGTAAAATGCTCTGTTCGTAATACAGTAACTCTACCGGGAGATTAAGCCTGCTGAGCTGGATCAATATCTAGCGAACAATTCCCAGCGGGAATCGAACTTAAAATAATCATATCACGTGACTGTCCCCTGGGGAGATGTGAACTCAGCCTAGCTGCGTATTAATCGAAACAGCATGTCATAAAGAAATGGCGTGCTACATAAAAATGTTGATGTATCGAATAAGGCAGTAGTTTCAAATTGATCCCATGTGAATTAAGAGTCTAGATTATGTTGTGTTGTTTGAAATACATTTAGAAAACATTTTCGATTTACAGAGTGAAATCATACTTAATTTAATCAACTTATATGCTTTAATACAGAGAAGAATTGCATGTTTTAATTGCATTTAAATTCTTCTATAAAACTTTAGAGCGTCCTTCGTTCATGGTACGCAACGAAAAACAACTCTTGCAAAGTTTGATTGAACTACAATCATATAGTTTTGTCCCTTAAGATAAGAAATCTTGGAGATTCATGGGTGGAAATGGATGTCCAGACGACTATTTTGAAACTTTGGTGTCAATAATAATATTTCTTAAAGTCTAAGCTTGATGCCAGCATGCGACCAGTGCAGACCAAAATCAGCATGGGTCTCTATACATTCAGTACATATTTTGAAAACTTTCCCTTAAAACGATACGACTTGTTTTGTCTAGACTGAATTCAAACTGTTGGGATATATTTAGCGTGATAATGGTCATGATGGTTATGTAGGAAAAACTAACCGTTCTATCAGCGCAACAGGTAAACCATTTGACTATAAATCGGGCGACCCGTGTTCGATTCCCGGACAGTTCAGGTCACTGGTTGTGATTGATCGTGAAATCCTGCTATATCATGTACAGAAGTCGAAAGTGAAGACACTACGTAATACTGGTGAACAGTTTTCTGCTTGACAACCTACCCAGGAACGATGTACGTGGTGGCTGAACTGTACTATTGTGAATTCAAATGGGCTTACTGATCCATAATAATAAACAACATCACCACCATCAAGTAAGTAAAACATAATTTTGATGCGGGGTCTCAACAAGGCTTTACGAACCCGCTACATGTTGTCTATATATGGCACAGTGCACGTGATGTGTCTGTCAGAGCGAAGGGTACAATCCCATCACATCTCTCTCTCTGTCTCTCTGTCTCTCTCTCTCTCTCTCTCTCTCGAAAAATGCTGGCGTAAATATGCTTTAAATTTATATATTACGGAATGTCATGTATCGTTATTCGTGTGTTATAAATGGTTGTCAATATAGCTATTTTTTACCTTTCTAGGTTATCTCAAAAGGAAAATAAATGTGTCTTTACAATTGAGTATCTGTTTTCTTTTTGTATTGAAGTAAACAAATTTAAAATGCTTAACCTTTTGAAACAAATCAGTTTAGAAACCTTTGCATATCCGATTGTAAGTTAACAAAGTTACAGATTAAAATAAATAACATAATAATAACTTTAAGTGAATTAGTGATACATCACTTTATATTCAGTCGGATAGATAAAAGAATGTTTGTGAATAACGATAATATTTAGTCAATTCTCATATGTAGTCAATCTTACCTTATTTGATTAAAAAAAAATCAAGGGAAGTAACTTCATCGATCGGGCAATTACACTCTTGTAGTGATGACTTCCCTTTCGTTTATCATATGCATCATTACATGAAGAGGAATTTGATTTATTAGTTATTAAAAATAAAATTATTCACGTTTCCCATTGTTATTTCATTCTAGTCCGTAGTTTAGTTTATGCTTTGATAAGTCTACAGCATATTTTGTTTCATGCATATTTTATTACAATGCACGGTTTTCACGTGTTTTGTACCAGTGTGTGGGTATATATTCGGTGTTTTACTATTGTTTCTCACTCATTTGACAGCTTTAAACACGTTCTTTAGAGTTATAGTTATTTAGAATATTATGTCGCGGGAAAATTCGCCACCACGTGCAAGTTTTTCAACAGTTCCCAGGGAAGAAGTTGTCTCCTAATTGAAGAGTTATTTTGATGACAAATTTAGTTCGCTTCAACGTGATTTGAAACGTGATGCTGAGTGGACTGTTTTTTCAGCGACAAAGAAGGTAAAAAAGGATTCTTTAATTTCATTCAAGTCTTATCAGAACAGGAAACAATTCGAGTTCAATAACACTGTTTTAGACATACTTGACAATATTGATAAGGCAGTTTCCTACAGAGAGGCGTCTAAAGCTAAGGACTTTCTTGCTGAAGCTAAGGATGCTATAACTCATAGAAATAAATTGATACGTATTGCTGACGGTTCAGATCTTGGGTGGTCTAACATAAAAGAGTACGAGTGACTGGAAGTAGCGTCTGATTCAGATGATGATAAAAGAATTCGTCGTGCTGAAGAGCGCGCTAAAAAGAAGGCTGATAAAATGCTTATTTTAATGATAACCGTTTTGCTAGTTCTTTTCGAAACAACAGAATTTCCAGAGCCGCAGAATCACGGAGACGTGGAAGGACGACGTTACGTTCAGCAGCAGGCAGATTTGGAAGGAAGACGCTCCTCTCTTGGATACCTGGAAGGACGACGTTTTGTTCCGGGAGAAGTCATTTGTTTCAAGTGTGGCCAAGAAGGGCATTATGCCAATTTCTGTTCCTCACACCGAAGAGCTTTCATGGTGCAGCAATCCAGCAACAAAACAGCTTCAGCAGCAGCAACAAATTCTGATGCCACCAACTCCTCGCACCAGAAGGCAACAAACAAGAATGATTTGTGTGTAAGACTATCGAAATATGATAAGTATTTATTTTTTGAACAATTTTGTCAGTTATTTGAAAGTACTGTTTTTTGTGAATACAAAGAATCTCAAGTTGCTGTACAAACAAACTCTGTTAAAGGTAGATTAAAAAGTTGTATTTCGTTTTGGAAGGACACTATTCGGCCTTCTAACAATGAAATAATTTCTTTTATAGAACAAGGTTATGTTATTCCGTTTGTTTACAAACCTCCGTCTTTTTATTTAAAGAATAACAAATCAGCTTTAAAGAACAAAGAATTTGTAGATTCAGCTATACAGGATCTGTTAGATAAAAATTGTGTGTATGAAACATTTTTTAAGCCATATAACATTAATCCATTATCTGTCTGTCTGGCAAGAAACGTCTCATTTTAGATTTAAGTGTCTTAAACAAATATGTAAGAGCAGACCACGTTAAATTCGAAGATTACAGGGTAGCTAAAGAATTGTTAATTGAAAATGGATTTATGTTTAAATTTGATTTATCTAGTGGTTATCACCATTTATCTGTTAATCCTTTACACCACCCGTATTTAGGTTTTTCATGGTACCTTAATGGTAGGTTACGTTATTTTGTCTTCAACGTTTTACCTTTTGGTCTTCGCAGTTCACCATACATTTTTACTAAGCTGCTTAGACCATTAGTTACGTTTTGGCGAAGTCAAGGATTACGAATTGTTGTTTTCCTTGATGATGGATGGGGTATTAATAAAGATTTCTTAACTACTTCCAGGGATGCAGAGTTTGTTAAGCAAACGTTAGTGAAAGCAGGTTTTGTTATAAATTTGCAGAAATCCATTTTTATTCCAGTACAAATGTTAGAGTGGCTAGGTTATTTGTGGGATTTGAAGGAAGGTTATCTCAAAAGTCCAGATAGACGTATTTCTAACACTAGAGTTTGTTTGGAAAATTTATTAAAATCTTTGTCGTCATCGTCTGCTAGAAAATTAGCACAGTTGGCCGGGAAAATAATTTCCATGGCTCCAGTACTGGGGAATGTCTGTTTTTTAAAGACTAAAGTATTTTTTGTATGTATTGAATCCAGGTGTGCTTGGGACTCAAAGGTCAATCTCCGTCAATTTCCAGAGTGCATTTCCTGTTTACATTTCTGGGAATCGCAATTGCAGGTTCCTTTTAAGCTCAAACTTTTTGTCGGCAGTTTACCTTGTACACTTGTATATTCTGACGCCTCAAACACTGCTGGGGCAGCTTATGTAGTTGAAGGACAGGACTTAATAGCCCATAAATTTTGGTCGGAATTTGAAGCTAGTCAAAGCTCTACCTTCAGAGAGTTGTTAGCAATTAAATACTCATTACAGTCATTTTGTGGGAAATTGTCTGGTAAACATGTTTTATGGCATACAGATAACAAAAACTGTGTTCATATTGTAAATAAGGGCAGTGTTAAGGAAAATTTGCAGGTTATTGCCTTAGATATTCATTCATTGTGTGTAAAATTTAGTATTTCTTTGAACATTCAATGGGTCAAAAGAGATTTGAATAAACTTGCTGATGAATACAGTAAAATGGTAGATGTAGATGATTATAGTGTGTCCGACGAATTTTTTGATTTAGTAAATTCCATGTATGGGCCTCATACTGTTGACATGTTTGCTAACGACTACAATACTAAGTTGCCAAGATTTAACTCCCTTTATTGGACTCCTTCTTCTGAAAATGTTGATGCATTCATGCAAGACTGGTCATCTGAAAATAACTGGTTAGTACCTCCAGTTGTTATGATTCCAAAGGCAATAAATCATCTTGTTGAGTGGCAAAGTCAGGGTACCCTTGTCGCGCCTTTTTGGCCGTCTAGTCCATTTTATCCTATGATTTTTGGACAAACTTCAATTCAAAAGCATTTTATTAAAGATATTCTTTTATTTAAGCCCACACAGCGCATTTACGTACAAGGAAAGAATAAAAATTCAATTTTTGGTACGGAACATTTCACTAGTAAAGTGCTTGTTATACGCTTTGATTGTAAATCAATATTGTAGGGGAGATAACTGTAAAATGGGTTTTAATTTAACACTCGTTTATTATCTTCTCTTGTTTTTACCTTTGTATATTTTTGTCAATTTGCAGGCTTGTTTGATTCATGTAGATGGAAAGACTTAACAGACACATGCAACATTTCTGGTCTTCCGATGTCCGTTGTTTCAGAAGTAAAACACACTATTTTGGGTAGCAGAGAACATAGTACAGTGAAAAATTATATGTATAGTCTGATTTTATTGACCTGTCAATTATGAATACATTATAGCACTCATTTAAATATTCGATCCCACTTCGGTTGTGTCCGTTTATTTTACGAGAATTAATATGGAGTATATAAATAACGTTTGGAAAACTCTCACTATCTTAATGAAGATTCTCGTAACATCCGCAATAGCGCAGCGGGTTAAGTGATTACCTACTGCATGAGAGGTCTGAGGTTCGATCCCTTCTTTCGGCATTCTTTTTAGACTTATTCTTTCTTTATTTTTAAGATTTTTTTTAATAAAATGGTCAAGCGCCTGCAAAATTGTCTACACGGATATGAAACACCTAAGAAACCCTGAATTGTCACATTTTGTATTGTATTTTACGGTACTGAAATTACATTTATTGATTTTAATCCGAATGAATTTTCAGAATTAATTCTATTATAACAAACAGTAATAATATAACAATGTTATATACAAAAGTACAGTATTTACAAAGAAAGTGCAAAAACATAATTATTAAAAACGGAACAACCATAACTTTAAAAATGTTGAAAATAGTTATGAATAAGAAAAAAACCCTGGACATATTCTGACTCGATCTTACAATACATTGGACATTCAGATAAAATACCCCCGTAGTTCACCCTATTGCGCTATAACGGTCAGTGTAACTTATTCATCGAAACTAGATAAGTTTAATCACATCTTACTGCGTACCTCTCACGGAATTTACCGAACATTTATCGAATATTAATATATGCTGTGCATTGACCGTATAATTAGTATGGAATTGACAGGTTAATAAAATCAAACATGCTTTTGAAAAAAATTGTAATTGGTGCGATAAATGCAAGTTATCTTCTTTGCCAGCTTTGCCTGTCACAATCGCGCTTTATTTAGTTTCGCTTATTCAGATGAATACATATTCATGCGGGAAATCTAAGTTAAATCAAATTTTCTATGCTATAAATTGGGCGCATGAAACTGCTTATTTTAAAGAAAATCCTTGTCAAGATAGATGGCTTAAATTATGTTTAGAAGGATGTATAAGAAAGATTTCGAGGCCTGTACAGAAAAAAGAGCCTATTACTCCTGATGTGCTGAAATTACTCATTAAAAGTTTTGTTTCTGAAAAGTGTTCATTGGCAGATTTAAGAATTGTTACATTGTTTGTGATTTGTTTTGCTGGTTTTCTAAGAATTTCAGAAGGTCTTTATCTAAAACGTTGTCATATTGATTTCAAAGATGATCATTGTTCATTATATATTGAAAATGCTAAAACAGATTTATATAGAGAAGGAAATTATGTAGTTTTGGCAAGTTTGAAAGTTGTCAAATACAATGCCTATATCCTATTATGTTGTTTTGGTTTCTTTCTAGTAAGATTATAACATGGGATAAGTGAATAATTATTTTACTCACAACACAGAGTGAGTAACGTTGTTTACAGAGTGTATCGGTTATATAATTATGTACTTTTATACCATATAAGAATTTTGTTTATAATTTATTGAAACGTTGTTTTCAACGTGTACATGCGCATTAATGTTTATATCGATCTTGTTGTCTAGACATGTATATGTCCCTGTTACATTATAAGATTATGTCCGTTTGTTACAATTATATTCATACTGTAATTATATCTTATATATGACATTTCATTAAGCAACAACAACCTTTGAGGGTTCCGTTTTAAGTTAACTGCTATTGCTGCATCAATTTAACCAACCGAAAACTGTTCAAACATGTAATGAACGGACTGAAGTATGGCTTACCTAAACTTAATTGCCATAAATTACATGATGTTAACTCCGTGGACAAAAAATAGAATGCAAGGGAAGATCAGCTAGATTGAAATTTAAAGGATGGGTGCATTGTGTACTTTATTATATACATTGCGTTTACATCACTGTTTTGTTATAATGTGTATTTGAAGCATTATTGTCATATTTGGGTAAAAATAGGTCGACATAGATGAAGATTACAAAAGTAGATGCATATATGTATTTATATATTTTTTTTTTGTTTGAAAATATTCTTTTGAGTCGGTTTGAGCTTTAATTATACTTAATTCTAGACTAATGCCCGCAATTTTAATCAAGTTTGAAAACTTTCACCACGCTCGAACCTTCACTTGTAATCAAAAGTCGAGGCGGCTTCCTCAAAAAGGAAACCGATAAAGGTCGGGCCGTAAGGTCATTTTTATTCAAAATTTCGTGTACAACTTTGCCGTATCTGTCTACCTGTATAACATTGTTCGAGTTGAATCCACACAGAAATATTTTTGCACCGTCACCTACGCATACATCAATGGCGTCCCTAAGTTTTGAACCGGAAGTCGCCGACACGAATCTACCGTTTTGGTCCACTGTTACAACACCTTTGTCTTTGTCAGCAACTTGTATGTATGAATCATGCTCATTGAAACATAAATTCTGTGGGCTCGTGAACAGACTTTTGCCATCTTTATTCGTCTTGAATGTTCTTAACAGACATCCTGCCATGTCTGACACAATCACGTGACCGGGATCGTTACTTCCGCTTCCGCTACAACAAATGTAAAGATAGCCGCCATGACAGCATATACCACGACAAATTCCATCAATTTTGAATGCCCAATTCACAACCATTTTCCTGCCGATGGAAACAAATTGAATTTTGTGAAGCCATGGTAAAGTCAAGGCTACTTCCGAATGCCCGGTTTTACATATGCCATACGGTGTAGCACCCAGCTCTAACGTGTCTAAAACCTGGAATTCGGTATCAATTCGTTTCAGTTTCAAGTTACTGTTATCTGCAAGAACTATTTCATTGTTGTCCAGCAAACAAACACCGTAGATATTCTGAATTTGCGACTCAGATGGCAACCTGATATCAAATTCACCAATCAGTGATGCTTCACTTTTTGTTTGATTATTAATGTAACCAATACTTTCAACTCCTTTCAAGTAAGATTCAATATCGGAATTTACTTCAAAGTCTAAAGAGTCAGTCCCGATTTCTTTCATGTTATCATATTGTTTTCTAGCTTTCACTGATCCGCTTTTCCCAGCTTTCATCTGCAAGAATATTTGTGACTTGGTCATACAGTCAGAATTCTCAATTTTGTTTTTACGTACTTTTAGGTTATCCAAACTTGCGTTCAAAGACGTGGTGTCATGTTTAAGGTCTTGCATGATTTTTTCGTATTTGGTTTCCAAATTTGTCAATACCTCTTTCTGCAGTTCTTTAATACGAGCAATGAGCCGATTGGTAATATCTTCTACTTTCTTATCTATAGTGTGCCTTTGCTCGCTAATATGTTGCATATCTTCTTGCTTTTGACATAAAAGATTTGCTAGTAATTTTTCTGTTTCACTCATAAATTGAAGTGTTTCATCTTTTGTTTTAGTAAAATTGATTTCCTTTGCAATATTAGGAATATAATGTACTTTGTCGCATAATCTGAAACAGGAAAATTGTACAATGTGTTATAATTAATAACGATGTATACTAGTATATATATTATCTTTACTCAACAGTTTGTTTGTTTGAGAAATTCTGTCAGATACCCTCTAGCAACTAACTTACTGGTGTTCCTAGATTTCAAAACCATTCAAGATTTCTAAACCAGTGTCACGGTACAAAGTGTGTCCTTCAAGGCCCATTATGCCTTATAAATGATTTAATAACATACTATATATTTAATGTGACAATGTATCAAACTCTCACTCGTCTAGCTTTGATATTCATAACTACATTATTTATATAATACGTTATAATGGATAGCCAGTAAGCTGGACATTTTTTTATTGACATATGATACAGCAATGATTATCATTATTATGCTTTAAATGATTTTGTTGATATAAATATTGTTTGGGTTGTAGAGAAGTCTTGGTGGGGTACTATAGTTCCTGATAGAGCAACATGCCGCACACCTGTGACATGACCTGATATGGATCTATCTAAGTATGGCGAGGAAGGGGTAGGTGATTCGAAGCCTGGCACCACAACCTAGCTTTAGGCATTTATATTCAGGTCATACACGCGCTGCCTGACATAGCAACCCTTGATATTAACAATGCCCCTCCTTCCCTTTTTACTGCAAATAATATGATATATAATCTATATAAAATAGAAAATACCTGTGGTCCAGTGCAATACAAACAGTACAGCACACCATGTCGTGATTCTCACAAAACATTTTCAACAGCTCAAGCGGATGTTGCTCGCACGTGACTTCTGGTAACGCTCCTTCCTTACTGTCTGCACTTCCGGTCTGCGTGTCCCATTTCTCTACCAAAGTATGTGATTTAAATATCTTATTATGTAGTTGAATACAGCTCCTGCAGAAGTTTTCATGACAATTCATGCAGCGGCACATCGCTTTTGTATTGTTACCGTCCTCTCGACAAGGTGAACAAGAATATACAAAGTTTGTATCCATTTTTATTGACTCTTTCAAGTGATGTTTTAAAAGTTGTCGCGTTGTTCGATTTTCAATTGTAGTAACGAAATGTGCACCGATAGTTTAAAGTACCAGGAAACAGGGACGGTATCTCGAGCGTTTAAAAACGAAGATATTATCTTAAAGGGCATGAACTGTCAATTTCACAATCACATTCTTCAAAAGAAGAACAGATCTTGTGGATCTTTATACTTCCGGGTTTATAAGTGTGGTTTAAACAATTTATTATATTTAAGAAAATGCACATGTATTTACACAAATACTTGCAAACCTCAAGGACAATGTAATCTATATTCTCTATACAAACTTGAGCGTGATTTTGTTATTTGATACTAAGTTTTATACAACAAATAAAATTTCATTTTTCGATCGTTTTAATTTTTCTCACGGTTGTTATTTTTGTTATATGTATTGTCATGACTTTGTTCAAATTGACATGATTAACGCACATTTTTAAGCTTGTTCAATGGCAAGTTTTTTTTTGTCCCTTAACCATGTTGAATAATAATCATAGAGCCAGGTGTAGAGCTTCATATGAGAATAGCATGCAGTTATAATACAAGTAAAATGGTTTCCTGCGGGGATCATTTTTAATGATATATAGATATTTCATTTAACTATTTTCAACATTGTTTGGGGGATTAACAAACGTTTGTATCAGGAATATAGTTGACAATAATCGATCAATATAGAAGAAGGTCTTTGGAAACTGATGACCGTTAAAGACCTGAGACCGGAAAAGGTCGAACATAAAACAATTATTTCTTTTTTAAGAAAATGATAAAATACCATTTTCTGAATAATTCCGAGCAAAAAAAGTAAAGTAAGCACACAAGTATACGCAGAAAATATCTCTTTTTAGTATGGCAGATGCCACTACGAACATTTTAATTTTGTAGATTTTCAGTATAAACAATTTATTGTTTGTAAAATTTGAGATAGAAATTAAAGAAACATTGATAATTTTCAAACACATTATTTAAGTTTTTCCACCTTAAACGGTAAAAAAATAATAGAAAATTAGAAATATCACGTAATAGTTTTTTGTTGTTAATTAGGTGTAATTCGGACTAATTCCCTAGAGGTAAATCCGTAACGTACCGGCAAACGGTATTTAGCTAGGTTTTCGAAAAGGGGATTTAACCAATCATGTACGATTTACAGATCACATGCTCCTCCATGTACCGAAAACAGGTCACGTGCTCCTCCATGCCTCAAAAGTTAAACGCGTACCAATACCCTGCGGTCTTCAGACCGCAGGGAATAATCGCCCATTGTGGCCACTATTTCCGACCAAGTTGCTTTTACAATGTATTTCAAAGGTCGGACAAGCAATATGTAAAGCCGGTTAAGCTACGCCATAATACGGTCCTGTATCCGTATTCCTATGGTTAATATTTTAAAAAAATAAGATGGAAAAGAACTTTTAGTCAAGTATACTTTTTGTAATGAAGACCCTAATTTCCGTATGTTTTCTAAAAAAATTATAGATTTTACATATGGTGTCGGCCCATTCAATTCTTGTCCTATACAAGTAATAGTAAATCATCACGTTCGAGGCTTATTCCAGGTTCTAAAATCCTTGTTGAACAATCTTCTGTTTTCGGCTTTCAGCATCAACTCTATGCAAGTCAAATGGGATGCGAAATATAACAACATTGGACTGTATTATGTTAGCCATCACGTTGCTTCAGAAAATTTCCATTTGTTGAAATTTGCCAGTTTAGAAAGTCCTGTCTGATGGCGCATCGAACAATTTAATTCTTCCACACAGAAATGAAGTCCTGCAAAATGCATGGGGAAAAAACCTTACTTTTAAAGTCACTCACAATAAACCCACACATATGTTTTAGATACACTGAAAATGACCACTCAAACTCAGAATAACTTTAAACAGGATACCTCAGACATTAAAATACTATTTTCTACAACGGATTGGACAGGAGTGCGTCGTGTTACAGAAGTAACTATGCTATGTGTCTATGTTATGCTTGTTTTGCTTAAATAAGATATATGTTTCTGTTTTCCAATGCACTAGTAGTTGTCTACATGATAAAATTGTATCAAAATAAGATATGAAATGACTCCAAGTTTTGCATTGTTTCTCATACCTTTTCACTCGGGCGTAATACATTTTATACTGTGTTTTCATTTACATATTCATTAATGAATTTACTGCGAAGGGAATTTATATATACATGAATGAATTTACTTTGAAGGGAGGGAAATCAAGGGTTATTCCTTGATATTGGTGCAGGGATAATCTCCCATTAGTAATTAAAGTTGCACTTACTATTAAACATCTATCTATTTCCATTTATTCATACCCATGCTAGGAAACTAGACATTTCGCGTCACTAGCACAGGTTAAAATGGAGAATTTAAGGTGAGATAAAAGTTTAAAATCGATAAATAGCATGACAGATGTAGATTAAGGTTTAACATACTCAATTTGGATTACAGCCTTATTAAACAAATTGTGCAGACAAGGGGACAACATCTGCGGGGGGGGGGGGGGTCAGGTCATTCCAATGAAAAAAAGTCCTGGATACTTGTAATTTGTAATTGTAGATGTTGGAGAACTTTGAAAAAGCAAGGGGACAGGAAATTCAAGTTTGTCTTGTTACTGGTTTTAGGTAGTCTGTAAGGGGATGGCAACCTTATTTTACAGGATATTTTTAAGTCAGGAAGATCATTTATATAGATAAGAAAAAGGAGAGGTCCTATGACCGAACCCTGGGTACACATGAGGAGACTGGGATAGTAGTTAACATAGAACTATTTACTTCCAACATTCCAACAACTAGAGAACACTTTCAAATCGGTATACAGTCATAAGATTTTGCAGGTGTATAGAAACTTACCCCTATTGATTTTAAGGCTATGAAGATCAATGGTCAAGGTTACAATGGCATGATTGTCTGACAAATATTAAGAGGACAGTGGCATATAAATTTAGTATCTACACGTATGTTGGACATGAGGTAATTGAGTCAAAGGTCAAGGCCACAGTGACACTGAGTACCAAGTCTAAATTAAGGGAAAGGACCACGTACTTTGGTTTCAAAAAACATAATTTATTTATTAATAATGTACTTTTTACGTATATAACTATGAATTTAATTAATATAAGTGGAGTTGTTTACAATGAAATGAAATAAACTATTTATTCATATGTTTAATTATTAGGTAAACCGAAACACCGTAAACATTCTATTGTGTATTAGCCCCTTATCTAAAGATTAACGGAAATGGCAAAAGGTCATTTTATTTATTATAATTTCTCGAAAGCTTTTATTTTTGATGTTCTGTTAAAAGTTCCAAAACGTTTCTCATTGGCTATTTACTGTCTTTCTAGATTTTTTTGCACATTTTTAAGTTAACGCATTTTGCGGTGGATACATTTCCGCGAATATTCGTATCCTTAAAGAAGTTGCATGTAACAAACCCGCAAACAAATCCTGTACCATCATATAAACCTGGAAATAAGCACACTAGCGGAAATTTAAAATTAGTTGTGATTGAAAGCACTGTCATGAGATGACGTCTTAAATGAGCTAAGAAATAGTAATGTGGTAAGCAGCGACACCTACGGTGGCATAAATGTACGGTGACACAGAGGTGACAGGTGTGTATATATATTCAAAGGTTTAAGTAGATCAAACGTACGGTATTTAAGGCATTAAGAATGCTAAATTGTGTAGGGGCAGCATGTTTTGTCCTGATTTATTCGGTATTATATTATTTCAATTCATTCATTAATAGTAATGTTAGAGGCCCCAGGAATGTTATCAATTTTATTTGCAAAAAGAATTTTATTTTTGGTATCTAGATACAGATTTTAGAATTATACTAATTTTCCATTTACATGAACTATCTTTTTGCCTTTGTTCTATAAGCAATTGATATAACTATAGTAAATTAGTATTTTGTATGGAAGTCAAAATACTACTTTGTTTACATTTTGCTACCTTTATGACACATTAATCCTCGTTCAGCGCTACTTCCTGAAGTACTTGAACATGTTACATGCTATATTTTTATTATAACCACATGTTTGAAATTTCTAAAGAATTAAAAAATATGGATTTCTGAGGCATAATGTGCCTTTAAGGACTCCCTGAAGTAAAATAATGAAAAAGCAATGGTCAAAGTGTAATCAGTGCATATACATGTATCAGGACCATAAGAACCCGCTTCGCAAATACGGTATGACCAAGTCAGAATAAATAGGGTTTGAAATTAAAATGTTCAGCATCAAATAAAAATAATTAGTATATACAAATCAATTGAAATTTTGCTGATTTACATTACTTTTATCAGTATCAAACAACTGAGGAAAGCATTGGGGTTACACTGCCGATCAAGGGAGCCATGTTTAAACATACATGTATTTTAAGAGCCTGCAGTATTTCATAACAAAGCTGACACTTCTAAACTAATGTGAAAAAAGCGAAAAATGGCCTTTGCGGTGTTTTATTTATGTCGTTAATTCCGCTTTATTGCTTTAGTTTAAAGATGCGAAAAAAATTCTATTGAAAATGCCTTATAGTATTTTCTTCAATATTTACGCAAAGTCTTTGCAGCAATACATTTCTGTTAATAAGAATAGGTAATACAGATTGTTGCTGCAATCCGGGATGGCTTAGAGCTTTTATGTTGCTATCAGCGATATTACAGGATAGAAAATGATTAATTTAATAAAGTTTAAAATTTAAAATTTCCCAAAAAAACGGTCAACAGGGGTTTTTTTTTCCCTTATTTTAAAATTAAATAGAGCGAATTTTTTAAACGATTTCCTAATTGCACTTTTTTTAAAGTGGGCGTAATGCTCATTTAAAATTTAAAGGCTTATTTAAAAGAACGAATAAAACCGCGTAATAACACTGTCGCAATTCTTTACGGATTTTTTTTATAAAAGAGTATCGAAGTGGACCTCTTTTTGGTGAAATGCACGCAATGAATTGGCGTGTACTACTTTTGAATGGTTTAATTCTCTGTGAATAATATATTAATATATAATGTATCAGGTTTCAGTATATTGTACGTGATTGTACTGTATTAAACGATCAAATTGTATTAAATGTAACCATTCAGCTTTTCATCTCTTCAAAACAAAGCTTTAATTTTAAAAATTCAGGAAGGCACGCAGAAAATGATTTTGTTTTAATAATTCAACTTGATCTAAAAATGTTACGGTCTGTTTAAACAACGCATTAACGCTTTCAACCATTTCGCCAATGTAAAGATAATAACTAACGGCCTATTGAAATAATAAGTTTATAACATAATGCTGATTGATCTAAACTGTTAATATATATATATATATATACTAATTTGTCAATATTGAAATGGGGATATCAAACTGCATAACAAATCGTAATATCGATTTGTTCTTAGGAAGCTTCCACAATGTTTCCTACGAAGAGCCAAGAAAAGGTCAAATATGTACAGGAATAATGGAATAAATACATTTAATCTGGGGACTCATTCACTCAGATGATGTATGGAGAAATTTGTATTGTTCAAATGCTTCATGCGGAAAGTAAAACGTAATATGTGTCTATAACGCTTTTAAAAGATTAATGTTGCATACAATTTGATGAAGAAATAATAAATGATAGCAACGGCTTTTTTAGTTATTGTTTGTTTGTTTTGGTTGTAAAAGTCATATGGCGACGTTCTAGCTTAACTGGTGGAGGGAGACGGCACCTGTGATGAACAACCGACGTTCCGTAAGCTAGCTGGATAACTTTCTCTCACAAAAGGTAATTTCCTCACATGAAAGAATCTGAAGTTCCTTGCAGGATTACAACTTACAGTGGTGAGAGGCAAGTCATTTGAAGGCAACGATCGTAACCACCCGACCAATTGATTTGAAAATCAATAAAAAAATTATGGGTCCGTACTCTCAGTGCCTGAAAGGGCGTATGAACCCCCATTTAGCATGGAATACGCACATAATGAAACTTAAATTATGCATTTCATAGACTAGACCAGGAAAAATGTGTACATTTGTCGTACATTTGCCTTGAATGTCTTCTCTCTTTCTTTTCGGGTAATGTTTTTAACGCAGTGTAATCAGTATAAAATGTTATGTTTATTTCATAAAATTGAATCTGCATGTACTTTGCTTGATACGTCAATAAACATTTACAGAAGAGACCACAGATGAATCTGTAACAACAGAAATTCAAGGATGTGGTGGTGTTGGTAGTTTTCTATCCGGATCACGACTGTAAGCCAACTTGATTTTACAAGAGCACAGTTCAGCCACCGCTTCGATCCTAGGCAGGCTGTCAAGCAGTTAATCAGTACTTGTTGTCTTCACTTTTACACTGATAACTTCTGTACATACCAGAGCAGAGGTAGATTCAAATATATCAACTTATATACTTAGCTTCGCTGAAAACCGTGGAATAGTCATTCTGGAAGAGTTCTTTATGACATCTTGTGCATCTCGAAAGGATTCATATTGGATGAGACCGGGCACTCAAGTTTTTTTATCACCAGGGAAGCTAGAAAGACGTCTTGTGAACGTTATAGTGACTTAAAATCCAAATAAAATATTATCAAAATCAATTATTGTTTAAGTGCAGACTGAATGTTTTAAATGGTTTCTATGTGAATAACATATAAACATAACACAGGTTCCTATATATTGAATGTAAGGGTACTTAGGAAACTTAAATTATGCATTTCATAGACTAGACCAGGAAAAAATGTGTACATTTGTCGTGCATTTGCCTTGAATGTCTTCTCTCTGTCTTTTCTGGTAATGTTTTTAACGCAATGTTATCAGTATAGAGTGTTATGTTTATTTCTACATGTACTTTGCTTGATACGTCAATAAACATTTACAGTAGAGATGAATCTGTAACAATAGAAATTCAAGGATTTAATGGTGTTTGTAGTTTTCTATCCGGATCACGGCAGTAAGTCAAATTGATTTTACCAGAGCACAGTTCAGCCACTGCATCATTCCTGGGCAGGCTGTCAAGCAGTTTACCAGGTCTAAGTGTCTTCACTTTCGCAAGGAACTAATAACTTCTGTACACGCTAGAGCAGTGGTAGATTCAAATATATCAACTTATATACTAAGCTCCCTTGTCAACACATTAAAACAGTCTTAATGATGCCATAACCATCTTTAATAGAACGTAACTAATTATAATGTGTCAACCATTTCTATAATTTTACTCAAGTGCGTTATAATAAATTAAATATTCATGGAGTGCTTCAATATTTATTGACACCACTTTTATCTTGACGTCACCTATCTATCACCTTTTGCTTAAATAAATACCATGTCAGTAGCTTGCAAACTATTCACCCGTTTCATCGCCATTTTTATTCGACATTAGCATAAACGTACATGCCATTGATTATAGATCAAAATATTAATTCTTGTGAAAACCTAGCGGAAAATAATGATAATAAATCAAGAACAAGAAAATAATGATAATAAATCAAGAACAACGACAAAAAAAACAACAATTAAAATTCAATTTTTCCAGACCAAGGTTTTTAAATAACTAAGTTTCTTTCATCTGTTGATATCCAAAGACAAAACATGTTTTTAAAAACTTACTTTGGGATGATTATAAATAACATAATTGACCTTTTAGATGGTAAAACAGAGAATTGTCAATGCCAACTTATCCAGCAGTATGTAACTTATTAATTTCAATATACTACACTGTTCAGTGACGACCTTATCCTGACCACTTCAATCACTTAAAATACAGCAGCAGATACTTTTGTCTCGAAAGAAAAAACTCAAATGGGAAACAGTCTTATACCAGGGGGGGGGGGGGTTATTACATTTAAAACAACGCTCTAAGCAGATATTTAAGTGTTATTCTATTTATGAGCACATTCTTTTTTGTGCTTGCAACAATAAATCAGTCACAACTTTAACATCTACTTTAGTTGTGTATTTATCCACTTCCATTTTTCGGTCTAAATTTTTCCACTTGAAATAATTTATTCTTCGCCATCTAGCTATAAACTCGAAGTGACTGATGGTTGAATAAGTACTTGGAAATAACTCAATCAGTGACGCATGTTTAGGAATAAACAACACGTGCGACAGTCCTGCCCCGTGCATGCCAACAAGAATGTCTGTTTGCGAAGTTAGTCGAATCTGTTCATCAACGGTATAATGATCAAGTTGAATGCCTCTAACACTGTGATTTCTGAATGCTATCGAAACTTTATTCAATAGTTCAATTTCATTTGCTATTTTGCGACCTACTTTCCCAGATGGATTTCTTGGATGTGCAACATAATCCCTCCGTAAGACTATTGTTATTGTCAAGTTATAACAATTGATAGGATGTGTTATTCGACGATAAGATGTCTTTAATAAAACAAAATTTCTAAATTCTTCCAGAAAAGGGAACGATCTAAAATTTCCGTTTTTCAGAAGTGGACTTTCTCCCCTGTGCAATCCCCATAGGAGTGTCTTAAACATGATTGTGTCGTTCGATCCGTAATGGCCAATGCTGGTGACTTTTGGAAATAACAAGGTCCATATTTTGTCAACAATCGATATTGGATGTGTGTCTACAATCAAAATGTGAATGTTTTCTGGATTTATTTCTAGAATCGATGTTATAAAGAATATATTATAGACATCTACCATGACCCAGTATAAATTGGCGTAGTCATACCGTACAATAGCAATCGTAAGAAGATCTTCTGTTATAGTTGCAGACCGAACCTTACTTGTAATTTCTAACGAGTCAGCCCAATTCTTTAAATGACCAACCTTGTTGAAAAATGTCTTATTTGGTTTTGTATCACAATGCATTTGAAAAAATCCTGGTTTTGTTTCAATGAGCTCATCTTGTTCTTTTTGTGAAATTACCTCACTTATATTCTCACCGCCTTTACTAAAAGATGAAGATTTGTTTATGTTTATTACTACTTGTCGCAAAATAACGCAATATTTATTGTAAGATATAAGATTTCCATTACAATATGCTTGTTTTTCAGTTATCATTTTTGCAAGAAGGGGATGATCAAATTTCGACACATTTATCTGATTCATTACTTTGATACCATGCGTAGTAAATATCGAAGTTTTCTCGTGTTTAACATTTTGATCAAACGTCCGTTCTTTCAGTGTTACACCCTTGAAATACTCTTTTCTTGCACTCCATTTATTGTCATGTAAATAAATGAAACAGATGAAAATATTTATCATCACATAACTGAAAAAAAGACATTTTAGACAAATCCTTGTACAAATTTTCATTTTCGATGATTAGTATTTGAATCATCATCATAACACAAAACATGTCAAATACCTTTGCTGAGTTGTACCTTTTAAAGTCAACACAAGATATCACAGTATATTAAAACGACTAAGCCAAGTTGTAACTTCTAAATGTAACACAACGTATCACAGTACATAAAACACCGTATTTTGTAGCAGCTTCCAAATTTAAGACAATATCGTGAAGTACATTATAAGTCGTTTAAACTTCCAAATTTAGGAAATATATCACAGTACAAATTAAACATTTTAGACGGTTTTAACTTCCATATTTAGTACAACAGAACCGTTGTAAATTCCATATTTCATAAGTGATAACACGTCGCAATCAATATTAAACACCTTATTTATGTTAATATTTTAGTTGTGCCCAGCATCACAGGGGTTAAATATAAAATCATGTAAGGCGATTCGTCCGATAAATTCTTCCGGAGAAAGCGATGACAGTTCAGATATAGTCAAAGAGCAAAAATATAGATCTAAAACCTTATCTGATTTCTCTAATCATACGAAGACTTATAACATGTTGAACAGTGCTACTAAATCATATGAGAATTTCCTTCTTTTAAGATAGTTGTTTGCTCTTTATTCTCCCTTACATCGAAATGTATAAGTTTGGTTCAAAAATGCATACCTGCGAGTAATCCGTAAAATACATGTAAAAATACATAAAAAAATCATTATAACTATGATGGATGAAGTTTCAATGGTATTTTTTTCTATAATAAAAAAATTGCTGTACCGTATCATTTCGAATGCAGTTGCCGGAGCATTTATTTTGATTCGTACACAATATTCTTTACTTTGAGAAGAGCCTTTTTACCTTTATATAAAATATAGAATAAAGGCTGCCCTAGGTGTGTTGGGGGTATCCTTTTCAGTTTATCCTTAACAACATTACAAGATTTTATTGAATTTCATTTGACAGTTTCAATAGAATTTCATATATCAGTTTCAGTCAGCTACACAAAAGCAGAGATATTAAGGCATTGGTTACTCTGATCACGATTAAACTTATTATTAGATGTTATATTTTATATCCTGGAAGGTCGTTCAGCACGACATTGTTGTTGTTTTTACATGTTTTGTGGTACTTATAGTTTCTTCTTTTTGGCCCTTTTCAACTTGGATGGTTTCAGTATTCCTATTTAAATACTTTATAATCGCCCTTAGGATATGTTGCCTGCTTTTTGAATTTTTCTTTTGACGTCTTGTCTGTGATATGCAGGCTTCATAACCTCATAACCCCTTTCAAAATTCCTTTCTATTTAGTTCTGCCCATTGTTTTCTTGTTTAGGGCACACGCATTCTTTTACTTGGGATTGCATTACTGTGTCACATTGAATCTTCCATAATAATCGCCGTATGAACACATCTGCGGATGTTTTTAAATTCAAACTTCCACCATTTTCGTGTTTTAAATGTTCAATTCTGCTAAAGCCGGTGCTAGGGGGCGCGGACGGTAACTTGGACTCCCCAATACAGTCCATGAACAGGCTCAGTCACACCGAGCTTGCAACATTTTCATTTTTGCCGTGTCGGGCTTTCTTTGGGGATTCTGTTTTCGCTATTTATGAAGCAAGCATTTCAATCTAGGACAGGTACCTAAAATGATTACACATTTTATGTCTTAAATAAAGCATGATTCTACAGATGTATCTTTTATTTAAAGTCGTTTTGCTGTAATTTTCAGTGATTTTCGGATCACTATTTCTCTTTATTTATTTCTGTTAATAATTTATATTTTGAGTTTAAGCCTTTATTTTATGAAATTTACGCATTGCTTTAAATTTGTAAAGGCGACTTAAGTGTAAATGCTCGAGACTTCGAAATTAAAACCATCGCGATAAATCATCGAAATGTGTACCTACATGCATTGTAGTTTTCTTAACAAGCAAAATGACATAATACTACTTTCATAAAGTTTGTTTTAAACTTTTCATTTCTATTGTTGATATGATTATTTATGTTAATAACTATACACTCTAACTCACATTTTCTCATAGAATGTGAAAATCAATTCAATGTATTGGTAGAACCTGGTGCAACGATGTGGAAATCCTTTTACATTAACGTTAAAGAATATTAATATCTAATACCGATATGGAATCTATTAAAGCATTTTCTATGTTCATCTATAGAATAAACTATTGATTTTTAGGATCTGCATCCGAACATGGTATAAAGAAAAAAGAAAATACCCTTACACACAATTGTTTTACTATTTGAAGATTTTGTAATTATCAGAGACACTTTTAGTATGGACATCAACCTTCCACCGCCCGTGAATATTAATTAAAACCAAAATTTTACAATTTAGCATTAATATTTTTACTTTCTAATATAAGTATTGAACAAATGCACGCTCTTTATTCGTTACAGAATTATGTCAGTATCTTGGCATGCAATGACTACACTTCAAAGGAATGTATACGTTGTTATCTTTATTAGGTTATGATATTTAAGGGAGTTTTTTCGTATGCGTTGTAAAATTAGCGGAAACAAGTTTTATGTTTAAGACATGTGACGAAGTCGTCATTAAATGAAAAAAAAATGTTCTACATTTTTTTGTCAGGTGCGTAACTCAAACTGTATTTGAGATATCAACTCGAAACTTCATAAATAAATACTAGTATATCTCATTAAGAAGTACAGTGCACAAGAATAATCACGACACCCTTAAGAGTTATGGTCCTTTCTATTTTTTTCATTTTACCTGAAAAGTATTTAAGATATGAATTTAAAACTTTATAGGTTAATAGATATCATTAAGAAGGAATACAATGCACAGAAATGATAACTTTGTCCATTATATTTTTTTGAGATATTATCTTTTGTTATTTTTCGTTCTTTTTATGTCCAAAGTATAATTTATTAAGTATTTCGGATATCAATTTGAAACTTCACAGATAGAGGTATCAGTTTATGTGTGCAGTGCACAATAGTGATAACTAACCATCACAACTTTTAAGTTATTTTCTTTTGTTATTTTCATGCTAATTTTTATCTTGAGTTTAACTCGAAAAGTATTTGAGATATCAACTTCAAAGGTGGTTAGATCTCATTTGTGGAGAAATGCATTGTACAAACATGATGATTCTCATTTTCATATTTTTACCTTATTGCTCTTTGTTATTTTCCATGTTTTATTTTCGGCCAGAACATAACTGGAAAAGTTTTTACAATATCAATTTGAAACATTATTTAATTTAGACAGTGCAAAATTTCAGATCATTCGCTCCTTTTTCCAAAATAATTATTCTTATTGTGAAAAATGACTCAAAAGTGGAAATGTTTCATCGCTTACACTCAAATCAGGCTAAGAATAGCACAAAACTACGATTTTAAATATATTTCTGAGTATACATTGTATTTCTTAATTATATTTTGTATATCTTTCTATTTTAAGTGCACCAGCTGATCTAGATAAGATTTTTTTAAAGTTATGGCTTGAGGCTTTGGGATCTCATTTGAGTTTATTGAGTTCCTTTAAAGCTTTAGAGATTCGAAACTTAATTTGAGGATAAATTAGAGTAAGAAGGAATGTACTCATCTATATATTTCGTGTTATTGTCCTTTTTTTATGCCTAATTTGCTTCTTTTCCTGCTATAACTTGATATGTTCAAGAGACATCAGCTTGACATTTCATGGGTGAATAGGTCCCATATATCAACTTTTGAGCTATTGGCCTTTGATGTATATTTAATCTAAAAAATTTTTTTCTAAAATATATTTCTCTGTTTAGAGGAGGAATTGGCAGTCTGTGACTGCTTTTTGTTCGTCTTGGATGCGTTCATTGATTTTGCTTTACAAATTACTTCTAACTTTTAAATCATTTAAAAAAGGTAACTTAATATTCCATTTAAATATAAAACAATGCATATCCTTGAAACTAATATATAATAAATGCGTAAGTATCAGAAGTTGTTCATACTTGAAATTTGCCAGACATTTGTCTATATTTCAAGAAGACTGACAATTACTTTATTTATGTATATTTTTACATTTTATTTTTTGCCATTATAAAAAGCGTTGTCAGATGTCTGGACATACCCTATTGTTTTCCTAAACATGTCTAGGAAACGGGCTGCATTTTTTGCTTGACTCGACGATCACATTTTTTGGTAACTTGAATGAAATTGTCTCCAGTTCATCTATTTTATGCATCTATGCATGTTTGTCTCTGATGTTTTGACGGTAAACAACATTGGTAAAATAATACCTATGATATTTCTAAGCACATGTAATTGGTAACAAACTTTCGTTTTAGGCTTTATTAGCAGGGCCTACAGAATCTGATTTTAACTTGTTTGTTTTAACTTACAGATTGACTTTACTTGTCCATTACAGCATAATATTTTTACATTAGTTTCTTGAACATTCTTAAAAATACACAATCATATTTCTTTAGCTGTAAAACAGTTATTATCATAAATGGTAAAATGAGCTCGTTTTGTTAACACATGGTTGACGAATTTAGGTCAACCACAAAATAAACCAACGGCGTTGCAAATATGATTGAAATATAGACTATAATTTAGAAGTTGCTTTTTCATACTTGACTTATATGATTTATGTTGAACTGATAGTTACTATCATTTCTTGAAACACGTAAAAAACGTGTCCAAAGACCGAGATTTTAAAGAAAAAACTTCCAGTTCAACATATTTGATTGGTAATTAAGAAACTGACGCAGAATGTACACTTATCATTAAAAAAAAAACCGTGATTTGAGACAGAACAGGGGAAAAAACGTTTTATAAAGGCCAAAAATGAGGACCAGATAATTTAATATATCTAACCAATTTTTGCTTACGACAATCTGTCTCAATTATAAGAAGTTTCGATTGATTCATTTCCTCTATATGTTAGGCAAGGTTTTATATCACAGGCTTTATTCATAATCATGAAAGCATTGATATTTTTTATATAAAATCATATCAGAATAAAAGCGTTAATCAATTTTTAATCATACACATCTTGCTATAGACTTTATCAAATATTGAACGTATACTGGCAATGTCAACTGTTGTAGAATCTTTGTCCTTTTCTCGTCCGCTGTTTCTATTTTTCCACATTGCATATGTTAAGTTTCTCCATTTCGCTATAAACTGAAAATGACTAAATGTCTGAAAATCAAATGGAAAGAGTTCGACTAATGCCGCGTGACTAGGTAAAAATACACTATGAGAGAGTCCTGCTCCGTGCATTCCTACAAGAATATATGTTTGAGAAGCCAGATGAATTTGTTCCTCAACAGGTAAATTGTCTAATTGAACACCTTTTACATTATGACCTCTAAACAATTAATTCATGACTTTAATTCCGATACATGATACATGTGCATAGTACTAAAATTAGAAATACTTTGTAAAAGTTGAAGGTCGTTTGACATTTTACGGTTTACTCTGCCAGATGGATTCCGCGCATGAGCGACATAATCTCTTCTGAAAACTATTGTAATTGTTATGTTCTTACAATTAAGTTCTTGACGTTTTGATGAATGCTTAATCTGTGATAAAACGAAATATCTAAATTCCTGTAAGAAAAGTTTCTCTGTAGGTTTATATTTCACAAGTGGACTGTCTAAACCACGCATACCCCACACTAGGTTGCCGCACAACACTTTGTGAGTAAGATGGCTTACTCTTGTTACTTTTGGAAATAGTTGTAACCAAAGTTGATCAAGTGGCGTGCTTGGGTGAGCATCCACAATCAATATTTCAATACGTTTGATATCAAGATTTAGCAAATGTGCCACGTGATATATATCATAGAGATCAACTATAACCCGATACAAGTTGGCATAACCTCGTCGGACAATTGCAAAAGTAACATCCTGTTCTGTGTAATTCACTAATGTGCTTTCATTTACGATTTCAAGAGATGCATCCCATTGTCTAAAATGCCCTTTATTTAAAAATAGATGGTAAGGTTTCTGTTCACATGACATTTTAAAAAATCCTGGTTTTGCGATACAGTATTCATCACTTTCGGTTTGATTTAAAACTTCACTTACATCTTCGCCTCCTTTTCGTTTTCCGGTGCACTTGCTGGGATCTACGATAACTTTAGAAAGAACCACAAAATAGTTATTGTAAATTTTGTATCGACTATTGCAATAGATATGACATGCATTTTGAGCACTTCGTTTTTGACTGGATGAACTAATTTGTCTTATAACCGTGCTGCAATTGTTTGGTATTTCAACCGTATACGTGATATTCCTTGTTTTCATATTTACATTTGCTCCATTGCTTTTCTCCACCCTTAAGTCTATTGCTAATATAAACATTTGTATGACCACATAAGCAGTTAACACTTTGCATATTTTCATCTGAATTTGAACATCCCTTGTTGATGACATCTTTACATGTCTCAACTTTCTCTGCTTATTCAGTGTGGCAATACCACGTGACTATGACGTCATTTTCGGCATCATTTCCAAGACAAATATTGCTCGATTCGGAAAAGAAAATAGCCGTAAATATTTTATTTCTGTACCAATTTCTTTGGGATATGCACCAGTCTACGGGGGAAAATATAAGCTTTCCACAGAATGTTGGATCTTTGTCAGTTTATAAGCCGTTTTATCAAACACTTTGCATAACCTTGGAAGTTGCTTGTATTAGAGCGGGCTTCAGTTGCAAGCTATTTCGTTTTCTGGCGTTATTTGGTCTATGCCATGATTAAAAAGTCAGGTTTACATCAACCGGGAGTACGGAAGGCAAAACTCTACCTAAATATGTTCATATTTTTATTATGAATGACATAAATATTACTTTTTTCTTCAATTGTCAATTCTGGCACCAGTTCCAAGTCGAAAAAAAAGACTACAGTTTAAAGCAGATTTTATAATCCGTTGCAAATGCGAAGCAACATGCCTACCGATCTCTTTCTACAAGTTAGTTTTTTTATTGTTGATCTTTCACAGAGAAATTGTGAAAAAACTGATTGTTCCTTAAAGCAAATGACACTTACTTGTATCGCAATAGTGCACGTCAAAACACATAGATTTAGTCCTTCCTATCGAAAAATAATATTTTGGTTTCGTTTTGAAGATGTTTAAAGTATTGCTCATCTTATCCTATGTACATGATGTAGTAAAATATGTTTTATTCTATTTCACACTGGCGAAATTGATAAGAAATATATGTGTTCTCAGTGAGCGAAAGAGTTAAAATAAAAAAAAACACTTTTGTATGCTACGTAAAGGGTTACACTTTAACGCGAGTGTTGTAAAGCTTAAGGTAACTTTTCAGTCTATTTTTTGTAAAGAGTAACTGACAAACACTGGTCACACTCGTGAAAGTGACGAATATGTTCTTCTGTCCTCAAAAGAGAGACTTTTAAAAGGAATATACTATATTTTTTCTGGAATTACCGTATAATAAATTTCTATAGAGTTTGATAAACGAAATCACAATTTGAAGTACTATGCACATGTATCATGTATCGGAATTAAAGTCATGAATCTAATTGTCACGCGCATTAACATGACGTTGACATTTTATGCTTATTAAACTATAAGCACTTTCATCATCAGTCAGATTTTGTTCTTTGTGCAGAACAATTTTAAATTTTTAAATATCATTACATATAACTTGGAACTTTGCCGTGTAAACCTGATAGTATTGTTACTTAGTTGCATTACTTATGATTCTCTATTTATCAAAAAGGCCCAAAATAGCCATGAGTCGCCAATAAAGAACGAGAATGGCCGCCATGTGGAGTAAACAAAGTAGAAAATAGTAAACAGATAAATGATTTTACAAACTAACAGTCATCGATCACAGTCAAATTTCTTGAAACAAAACATTTAAAAAGACGGAAATAACAATGATTATCAATAATTATATAAATATTTACATTAACATCTGTAATAGCAACATGGCAAGATCTATGACTGGGGTCCATATGACACTGATGCGTCCATTGAATAATTGATAGATTACATAAGCTTAGTAAAATTACGATTACATTTGAAGAGTATATTCAATTTTTATCTATCAACTGTCAAATGACTTACTTCTTTATTTACATATCAGATAATTCACTTATTTGGCATATGCATTATGTTTATCATATGTTAGATTTTAATATGAGGTCCTTTTTTTTAAATCTTAAAATGCTACAAAAATCCTGTTGAGGACATCTGCAGGTCATGCCGCGTGCAATAATCCACGCATTTACAGCCAATGACCACATCGATAAGAAATAGTCCCAAATAGCCCTATCGTTTTTATTCAGTTGATAGAGACATTATTGTTAAAACATTCTACTCTATTTAAATGTTTTCAAACCCCTTCCTCTCTTTACAATGTGTATTGGTGACCTCTCTGATAAAGCTGGGTTGACTGATATAATTAACTTAATTTGTCAGATATGCAGTTTATCAACAGAAATAAATTCAATAATAAAATAAAAAGTGTTTAGTGTTCTTAAGTGAACGAAGTTATATCCAGTTCACGAAAAACGGTTACCGTGGGTATGAAACCAGGATGTAAAAATATTTTTTATCAACGAGTGCCACTGTGTTTAAAAAGCTGAATCTATCATACAGGTTCTTTACCAAGTATATATATGAAATAACTCTTTACAAAAGAATAACCTTTGACTTTAAAATTGCCGCGTTGAGGCGTAACGCTTTTCACAGCATACAAATGGAAGTGATCCTGAATGTGCACGTTCATTGGACAGGCTAGCTAAGTCAAACCGAGCCTGCAACATTTTCAATTTTGCCGTTTTGGGCGATATTTAGGGTTTCTGTTTTCTCTCAATTTTGAATATTCCACGTTTAGTATTGCTACACATGACACTAATAGATACCGTGAAAAGAGCAAATCAATTTCTTTACAAATACAGACAACAATTTTACGACTTTTAAAATCACTTATAGCGCAGCGAGTATAAATCATTTAAATATTCATTTGTGTTTATGTAAATTGTATAGTAAATAAAATGTGTTTCATGGTTAACATAATTATAGAAAGAGAACGGAAGGCATGTTTCTTTGCATTTGCAACGGATTATAAAATCTGCTTTAAACTGTAGTCTTTTTTTTTCGACTTGGAACTGGTGCCAGAATTGACAATTGAAGAAAAAGGCAAGATTTACGCCATAAATAATGAACATATAAACATATTAAGGTAGGATTTTGCCTTCCGTACCCCCGGTTGATGTAAACCTAACTTTTTAATCATGGCATAGACCAAATAACGCCAGAAAACGAAATAGCTTGCAACTGAAGCCCGCTCTAATACAAGCAACTTCCAAGGTTATGCAAAGTGTTTGATAAAACGGCTTATAAACTGACAAAGATCCAACATTCTGTGGAAAGCTTATATTTTTCCCCGTAGACTGGTGCATATCCCAAAGAAATTGGTACAGAAATAAAATATTTACGGCTATTTTCTTTTCCGAATCGAGCAATATTTGTCTTGGAAATGATGCCGAAAATGACGTCATAGTCACGTGGTATTGCCACACTGTTATTGGTATTTTATAAATAAAATTCATTCATGTATAAACATAAAAAGATCATTTGGCAAATCTGTGTCTAATGACACATTGAACTGCACGTAATATCGATTCGTTCTAAGGAAGCATCCGCAATGTTGCATTCAAAGAAACAAGAAAGAATGTAAAAAATGATTTGTGGCTGGCCACATATTGCGAAAAGATATATAGATTAAGTAAAAAATAATGTACATTTAATCTGGGGACTCATTCAATCAGATGATGTATGCAGAAATTTGTATTGTTCGAATGCTACATGCGGAAAGTAAAACGTAACATATGTCTATAAACGATATTTTAAAGATTAATGTTGAATACAATTTGCTAAAGAAATAATAAATGATAGTAACGGCTGTTTTAGTTATTGTTTGTTTGTTTGTTTTGGTTGTAAAAGTCATATGGCGACGTTCCAGCTAAACTGGTGGAGGGAGACGGCACCGGTGTTGATCAAACGACGTTCCGTAAGCTAGCTGGATAACTTTCTCACACAAAAGATAATTATCTAAAATGAAAGAATCCGAAGCTCTTACAGGATTCAAACTTACAGAGGTGAGAAGCAAGTCGTTCGAAGGCAACGACCATAAACACTCGACCAATTGATTTGAAAATCAATTAAAAAGAATTAGGGATCCGTACTTTCAGTGCCTGAAAGGGCGGAGGCACCCTCATTAAGCATAGAATACGCACATTAGGAAACTTAAATTATGCATTTCATAGAATAGACCACGAAAAAATGTGTACATTTGTCGTACATTTGCCTTAAATGTCTTCTCTCTTTTTTTTCGGGTAATGTTTTTAACGCATTGTAATCCGTCTAAAGTTTTATGTTAATTTCATAAAGATGTATCTACATGTAATGTGCTTGATACGTCAATAAACATTTAAAGTGAGATAAATCTGAACAACAGAAATTCAATGATGTGATGGTGTTGGTAGTTTGCTCTCCGGATCACGGCAGTAAGCCAAATTGATTTTACCAGAGCACAGTTCAGCCACCGCTTCGGCTGGGCAGGCTGTCAAGCAGTTTACCAGTTCTAAGTGTCTTCACTTTCGCAAGGAACTAATAACTTCTGTACACGCTAGAGAAGTGGTAGATTCAAATATATCAACTTATATACTAAGCTCCCTTGTCAACACATGAAAACACTCTTAATGATACCATAACCATCTTTAATAGTACGTAACTAATTATAATATGTCAACCATTTCTATAATTTTTCTCAAGTGCATTATAATTAATAAATTATTCGTGGAGTGATTTTAATATTTATTGAAACCACTTTTATCTTGCAATCACCTATCTATCACCTTTTGCTAAAATAAATACAATAGTAGCGTGCAAACTATTCACCCGTTTCATCGTCATTTTTATTCGGCATTATCAAAAACGTACATGCCTTTGATTATAGATCAAAATATTAATTCTTTGGGATGATTATAAAGTACATAATTGACCTTTTAGATGGTAAAACAGAGAGTTGTCAATGTCAACTTATCCAGCAGTATGTTAAGCAACTCATTAATTTCAATACACTATACTGTTCAGTGACGACCTTATCCTGACCACTTCAATCACTTAAAACACAGCAGCAGATACTTTTGTCTCAAAAGAAAAAACTCAAATGGGAAACAGTCTTATACCATTATTATTATTGTTTAAAAGTTAATGATTGTAGGGGGGAAAGAATATTACATATAAGACAATGCTCTAAGCAGAGTTCTCTGTGTTATTCTATTTATGAGCACATTTTTTTGTGTGCTTGCATTAATAAATCAGTCACAACCTTAACATCAACTTTAGTTGTGTATTTATCCACTTCCATTTTTCGGTCTGAATTTTTCCATTTGAAATAATTTATTCTTCGCCATCTAGCTATAAACTCGAAGTGACTGATGGTTGAATAAGTACTTGGAAATAATTCAATCAGTGACGCATGTTTGGGAATAAACAACACGTGCGACAGTCCTGCCCCGTGCATGCCAACAAGAATGTCTGTTTGCGAAGTAAGTCGAATCTATTCATCAACGGTATAATTATCAAGTTGAATGCCTCTAACACTGTGATTTCTGAATGCTATCGAAACTTTATTCAATACTTTTATTTCATTTGCTATTTTGCGACCTACTTTTCCAGATAGATTTCTTGGATGTGCAACATAATCCCTTCGTAAGACTATTGTTATTGTCAAGTTATAACAATTGATAGGATGTGTTATTCGATGATCAGATGTCTTTAATAAAACCAAATTTCTAAATTCTTCCAGAAAAGGAAACGATCTAAAATTTCCTTTTTTCAGAAGTGGACTTTCTCCCCTGCGCAATCCCCATAGAAGTGTCTTAAACATGATTGTGTCGTTCGATCCGTAATGGCCAATTCTGGTGACTTTTGGAAATAACAAGGTCCATATTTTGTCAACAATCGAGATTGGATGTGCGTCTACAATCAAAATGTGAATGTTTTCTGGATTCATTTCTAGAATCGATGTAATAAAGAATATATTATAGACATCTACCATGACCCAGTATAAATTGGCGTAGTCATACCGTACAATAGCAATCGTAAGAAGATCTTCTGTTATAGTTGCTGACTGTACCTTACTTGTAATTTCTAACGAATAAGCCCAATTCTTTAAATGACAAACCTTGTTGAAAAATGTCTTATTTGGTTTTGTATCACAATGCATTTGAAAAAATCCTGGTTTTGTTTTGATGAGCTCATCTTGTTCTTTTTGTGAAATTACCTCACTTATATTCTCCCCGCCTTTACTAAAAGATGAAGAATGGTTTATATGTTTATTATCACTTGTCGTAAAATAACACAGTATCTATTGTAAGATATAAGACTTCCATTACAATATGCTTGTTTTTCAGTTTTCATTTTTGCAAGAAGAGGGTGATCAAATTTCGACACATTTATCTGATTCATTACTTTGATACCATACGAAGTAAATATCCAAGTTTTCTCGAGTTTAACATCTTGATCAAACGCCAGTTCTTTTAGTGTTACACCTTTGAAGTACTCTTTTTGAGCATTCCATTTATTGTCATGTAAATATATGAAACAAATAAAAATATTTATCATCACATAACTAAAAAATAGACATTTTAGACAAATCCGTGTACAAATTTTCATTTTTGATAATTAATATTCGAATCATCATCACACCACAAAAACTTGTCAAATACCTTAGCTGAGTTGTAACTTCTAAAGTTAACATAACGTATCACAGTACATAAAAACACTTTAGCTGAGTCAGAGCCCATATACAAACTTTGTACTCTAGTGGCATTGCCGCCCTTTGATATATATTTCATATGAATTATCCTCTTTCTATAATAATTCCTTCTGTTTGGAGTCTGTGACTGCTTTTTGTTCCTCTTGGATGCGTCAATTGATTTTGCTTAGCGAATTACTGCTAACTTTTAAATCATTTAAAATGGTAACACAGATCGACCTTGTCCGAACATTACATTTGCATATTAAACAATATATACCGTTGAAACTATTATATAATAAATTCACAATTATGTTTTTTTAGATTAAAAAAGTTATTTTCATAAATGATGATTTGAGCTCATTTTGTTAACACAGGGGTGGCGAATTTAGGTCAACGACAAAATAAACCAACGGCGTTGCAAATATGTTTCTTTTAAAATTGAAATAAAGACTATAATTATGATTTAAAACATGTTTTTCATATTTGACTTACAATTTCTATGTTGAACAGATGGTTACTATCATTTCTTGAGAATCGTATAGAAAAGGAGTCAAAAGATCCAGATGTTAAAAGAAAACTGTCCAGTTCAACGTATTTGATTGGTCAGAAACTGACGCAGAATTTACACTTATCGTTATAAAACGCATGATTCGAGACAGAACTCAGAATAAAAGTTTAATAAAAGCCAAAACTGAGGACCAGGTAATTTAACATATTTAATTATTCATAATCATGAAACCATTGATATTTTTTTTCATATAAATTAAAATCAGAATGAAAGCGTTATCAATTCTCACCCTTACACATCTTGCTATAGACTTTATCAATTATTGAACGTATACTTGGAATGTCAACTGTTGTAGAATCTTTGTCCTTTTCTCGTCCGCTGTTTCTATTTTTCCACATTGCATATGTTAAATTTCTCCATTTCGCTATAAACTGAAAATGACTAAATGTCTGAAAATCCAATGGAAAAAGTTCGACTAATGCCGCATGACTAGGTAAAAATACACTATGAGAGAGTCCTGCTCCGTGCATTCCTACAAGAATATCTGTTTGAGCAGCCAGATGAATTTGTTCCTCAACAGGTAAAATGTCTAATTGAACACCTTTTACGTTATGACCTCTAAATATATTAGAAATACTTTGTAAAAGTTGAAGGTCGTTTGACATTTTACGGTTTACTCTGCCAGATGGATTCCGCGCATGAGCGACATAATCTCTTCTGAAAACTATTGTAATTGTTATGTTCTTACAATTAAGTTCTTGAAGTTTTGATGAATGCTTTATCTGTGATAAAACAAAATATCTAAATTCCTGTAAGAAAAGTTTCTCTGTAGGTTTATATTTCACAAGTGGACTGTCTAAACCACGCATACCCCACACTAGGTTGCCGCACAACACTTTGTGAGTAAGATGGCTTACTCTTGTTACTTTTGGAAATAGTTGTAACCAAAGTTGATCAAGTGGCGTGCTTGGGTGAGCATCCACAATCAATATTTCAATACGTTTGATATCAAGATTTAGCAAATGTGCCACGTGATATATATCATAGAGATCAACTATAACCCAATACAAGTTGGCATAATCTCGTCGGACAATTGCAAAAGTAACATCCTGTTCTGTGTAATTCACTAATGTGCTTTCATTTACGATTTCAAGAGATGCATCCCATTGTCTAAAATGCCCTTTATTTAAAAATAGATGGTAAGGTTTCTGTTCACATGACATTTTAAAAAATCCTGGTTCTGCGATACAGTATTCATCACTTTCGGTTTGATTTAACACTTCACTTACATCTTCGCCTCCTTTTCGTTTTCCGGTGCACTTGCTGGGATCTACGATAACTTTAGAAAGAACCACAAAATAGTTATTGTAAATTTTGTATCGACCATTGCAATAGATATGACTTGCATTTTGAGCACTTCGTTTTTGACTGGATGAACTAATTTGTCTTATAACCGTGCTGCAATTGTTTGGTATTTCAACCGTATACGTGATATTCCTTGTTTTCATATTTACATTTGCTCCATTGCTTTTCTCCACCCTTAAGTCTATTGCTAATATAAACATTTGTATGACCACATAAGCAGTTAACACTTTGCATATTTTCATCTGAAATTGAACATCCCTTGTTGATGACATCTTTACATGTCTCTTGCAACTTTCTCTGCTCATTGGTAATTTATAAATAAAATTCGTCCATAACAATGTCTAAACATAAACAGATCATTTGGCAAATCTTTGTCCAAGTGACACACTGAATTGCACGGTTCACACGCTTTAAAATTAAAAAAAAATATTTTAGCAATGGAAGCTTTTTTTTCTTCAAAAAGATCATCGAAATCACAGTGCAGAACAATGATTTCTCAACCAAACTTAATCCTCCGTCTCTGCATGAAATAAATTAGGTGCTCAGGTCTTTCAAATATTCCCTATGTGGTAAAATATAATATTATGCATAACGGCGAAACTGTTAATTGCTTAGAATGTCATTGGTAGGCCAAAAAATAATGAACGGATAAGTCTTTTAAATGAGTCTTCTTTCACAGGTCAAAATTATATCATAGTTACAAAAACACTAAGCATAACTTTTCGACCTTTTTTAAATATTTTCTTATTTATTTATTTATTTATTCATTTATTCATTTATTTATTTATTTATTTATTTATTTATTTATTTATTTCATTTATAAAATATGAATGACAGTCAGAGCACTTCGTTATGGTCCTGTTAAACTGAAAGGTCTTTAGACATTACAGTATTATCTCTTCAACCGTATACATGATATTCTTCGTTTTGCACTTACATAAAGTTACTCTCCTGCGCATCGGTCGAATATTTCACTATCGCTCAGTTTCTTAGCGTGAGTGTATTCAGTGAGCTGCGAAGTGAGCGTAACATACAGTATGTTCCATCGTTATTATATCCACTCTTAAGTACGCTTAAGACTTTTGCTTATATAAAAATTTGAATGAACACATGTACGCGGTAAACACTTTGAATATAATTATCTGCATTTTATCAACACTTATTGATGACATTAAACATATTTGTAAGTATTTAAAAAAAGATATTTCAACCTATAGATATCAGGTAGTATGACACATTGAGCACTACAAGAGCTTTACACATGCTTATTCAGATTAATGTTTATTTGTATATTATTATTAGCTTTTTTGCCACCAAATTGAATGGACGATGTAGTTGAATAGAAATATCGAAATCGTGTGGATAGAGGAAAATATAAATTCAAAATGTAATTCAAACTAAATGAACTGTTTCGTGATCATATTATACATGTTGTTCTTTTTTTTTTATTCAAAACCAATTCATCGAATTTATCATGTAGAACAGTAATTTCTCAACCGATGAATTTCCTTAATCTCTCTGAATGAAAATTATTCAGTACCCAGCTTTACCATTCAATATTGATTCTCTTAGGCTATAAGTGGTAATAAATATAAATACAATTATGTCGTAAAATATATAGAAATAATAAAAATATATTTGTGCCGGTCGAATGCTGCTTGTTTTTTTTTAATAAAAATGCATAATAGAGTAAAATAAAAAATCTACAACAAAGTTACATATCAAATATAATTGTTATCAAAACTAACTATGCAAAAGTATGTTAAAAATAATTGCATTTATTCTTTTTTAATTATTTTGCGACTGAAATTAAATGTTGGCTAATTTTATATCACGGCGGAATTATTGATTGTTCGGTGATTTAACCTTCTTTTGTATGTCAATGGTAGGCCAAATGAAATAGTTAACGAAAAGCTTCCTTCTTCACAGATCTAACGGAAACACCAACTGCATCTTTTCGACTTTTTCAGTTCAGAGATCACTCTAATAAAGCATTTTTATATATTTTCTCCTTTAAAGGGAAAATGTAAAGTAGTGAACAGAATTTTCTTAACCTTTTCAGGATTCAAAAGAATCATAATTGAAACAAATTTATAGACAAAATGGGTGTCACCAAACTTTTTTTGTTTTATCTGACCCTAAAAGTAAGTTCTTATTTAAAGCCATTTTAAAGACCAAATAACCAGAAAGCTGTAGCAAGCAACACCAAATTTGGTATCTCAGTTCGAATCAGTTACTTTATATCTTGCAATGGAGCAAACTTTGCTGAAATTCTATGCTATTAAGCTTATTGTATAGATGTTTATGCAAAATGATAGACATGTTCTTCCAGAAAATTGCATTAGGTTTACTCAATGAATCTTAACAAAAATGTATGTTCAATTGGATTTGTTTAAAACTTTGCATAATGACTGAAAGATAATTGCCAAATATATTTTGAAATGAAATAATGTATCGGTATATTCAGTTTTGAGTTATCTGCTCTTTAAAATAACCTAAAGGAGTAAAAACACTTTAGGAGCACATAACCCCAATGTCCTCTTCCATTATTTTGTTTCAGCTTTCATTATCCTTCACCATGGAAAACGTTAAAGAAAATTCTGTTATCTAGTCTAATTTTTCTTTCCTGGCACATACAACACACTTTATTTAAGTATTTAAAAAAATGTTTTTGAAATTGTGTAACATTGATAAAAAGTTTTTGTATCAATTAAAGAACGGTCTTAGATTGTTCAAATTATATCTTTATTTCTTTATAAACCCATAGAATTAATGGCATTTCAAATATGCACTACCTGGTTACGTTTTCGTTATCTATTACACAAGATAGAAAGCAGCGTGGAGAATTCACGGGGTAGGAAATAATACACAAAATAAAGAATTCCTTTTTTAAGTGTTACGTATTCTTTTGATATATAATATTTTCCACGAACTCTCAGACTGTAACAGTTACAAGATATGACAACATATCATAAATATTTCATCTTTATGTAACAATTCCTATTTCGTGTAAACAAAGGCAAGCATGTTTATATATTATCAATAATTAAACTATGTAATTTTATCAAAATTAAGAAAAAACTAAAATATGTTTTGTGTGTGTGTTTTTTTTAACAATCCAAGATGTTTTATATTTACAGAACACGATGCAGTAACAGCCTGAAATAATATAGGAAAAGAAAACTATAATAGATATTTTTTACATAACTTGGCTTCTGGCAAGACAGTTGCGTTGAATTTGGAACTTACACCGTTAATAAAGTGATGTTTTACAAGTGATGCATGGAAGTGCGGACTGGTCTTTCTCTAAAGTAGTGAATATCAAATCATTATCTGGAATTAAAATGAAAAGAGGATATTTGTAAAATCAAACACCTAGCGTTCATAGGCAATTGAATTACTAATTAAACACATACATACATCATTTAACTATTTGCATATAATAAAGTGTCATTATATTAGAGTCCCAAAGTAATTTCTTTAATTTTGAATAAATACATCTAGTAATCTTGTACTAAAACATCATATCGTTCTAGCCAAACACGTGCATGAATGATACTGCTTTCGCCGCTTTCATAAACATCTTCATTTTACTAAAGACTTTTGAGGTCACCTTAGTTGTAGAATATACGTTGTCATACCCTTCTGCAGTACAATATAGAACACGAACTTGGTGTCTGGAAAGGTATGGTAGAGGTTTCACTGCTATCATAGTCTTTGTGACGTCATGATGTTCCTGAACTGACGTTTGCGAGAAATATTCTGGCTTTGGACATCTCTCAGCCTTGTATTCAAACCATTTGTCAACACTTAGACCGCCTTTCTGTGAATATCTAGAAACTGTAGAGTGTTGAATGGTACTTTCTACCTCTAGCAGCGGTCGTTTCTCTATCTTAGTATAACTTGCAAAATTTACTGAAAAACTTACTTTAGGCGCCGGCTGTCCTCTTGCTACACAAAATGCAATGATCTGAAAACATATACATCGTGAACTAGTAATACGCATTTGGATATCGGCGATGTTACTAATTACAGCAATAATTGAACCCACATTTTTTAACAAATGGAGTAACAAAAATTTTCTGTTTATTGGTATTTTATAAATAAAATTCGTTCATAACGATATCTAAACATAAAAAATATCATTAAGCTCGACTCGTTTATCTTATCAACCTCACCTCTTCAGTGTTGTTAACAACAACTTCCGCCATTAGTATCTCTGGTCTAATCATCTTTTTCACATCAATTGTCTTGCTAATTGTTCTGTTTCCAGAGGTGGCTATACATTTGTACTTGCCAACAGCCTCATCTAGTTGTATCCCTTCAAGGCTGGAAATAACATGACTACTCATGCTGGAGGCCTGTTTCAGTTTTACAGTTGGAATAGACCTTCCATCTAAATGAATTAATATAATGATGCGTAAAAGATTAGACTGCGAGCAAATTCAGCCAAATGACGTACGAAACAATGTACAAAAATTAATATACACTTTGTTTCTTATTGAAATGAAGACTAAGAATACGATAAATAAATAGTATGGATACTTCAATTTGGGCTAAGTTAAGTTCATACGATTGGAGTTAAAATTATATGATAATATAAAATACTCTGTTACAATATTTATATAATTGTTTATGCCTTAAAATGATCAGCTTACATTTGTCTTCGATAGACACTACCGGTTTAGGGTAACCAAATACCTCGCAGCTAATTGCTCTGTGAGCAAAGTTATCATCAACACTCATTGTATCTTCTTCTCCATAAAGCCCCTCAACAAATTTCATATCTACGTTCTTCTCGCTATTCCTTCTTGTGTACGCAACTAATTTGATGTCTTTGAACACTCCTAATGTGTGGTACCAACGGGGAGGTACCATATCATCAATTGAACAATAAGAAAACACAACCACTTCTGAGTCGTAGTCGAGATAGTCATCCATGATACCAAAGACATTCACCTGCTGTTGATCTGTTTTATTTTTCGTGTACACTCCAAAGCCGTGCAACCTTTCAACCGCTTCCTTTGCTTTGTCAACAGTCCTAAGTAAAGCTTTACAGACTAAAAATGTGAAGCAAGTTTCGTTAACAGACGAATCTCTCTCTAATTTGACAGGAAATTCTTCATTTTTGAATGTTTTTGACAACACCATTTTCATTCCCATGCGCGGAACACTCATATCGACAGAACGCTCACTTAAGGCGTCATAATTGAGCTCAATATAGTATATTCCCATATCGGAAGATAAACTAAACGCAAGAAATTGATAATTTTTCCAGGAAACGGGCAGATCTATTGTCGTTGATACACGTTTACCACTTCTGACAACGTTTCCTTGAGTAATTGTATAAGATACTGAAAATAAATTGCGACATTAAAAATTGTTGAAATACTGCAAATACAGCCCACGATATATCTTTAAAATTAAATAAAAAAAAGATGCGGATATTACAAAATAATACTATTAAAATTGTTATTATTTCTGTTACAATCATCATAAAAAGTCAATAATCAGCATTGTATCTGATAAAGATGTAGCATCAAATATTTGTATAAAGTGTTCTACAGAAATTAATCGCAAATAACAAAATGGAATGAGTAATCAGACAAAATTAACATTGAAATATGTAACATTGTTGATAAGCTAAAGACTGAACGGTTACTTAGCTTAACATCTTCAATGAATTTGTCCAATTATAACCTGGACAAATTCATTCTTCATTTTTAAGATTTTACATCTATGTACTGACTATCGTATAGTACAGATGATGGTCAGGCGGCATGAAAACGCCGGCTGATCATGGTCTGGACTGGTCGCATGAATATCATCAGGTGCCATTTTTTTTATTTTTTAAATGGCGCCTTAATTGTAAATAATCATAATACTAAATGTGGATCTGATTAGACTGACGTCAGCGGTCCCTTTACAAAATAAAAAGAAAACTTGAAACCAGACAAATTTCTTTTACACCATGCGTCAGTTTCTCGAGCGATTTGTTTCTTTGTAATTGATGTTCCGTTTACCTCCATCAAACTTCATTTGCCAAAACGGTGTCGAAGTAATTCTTTCAGTGTAAGACATCGTTATCTCCACGTGATCTCCATGTAACTCTGACGTCAGTATAAGAGGATAAAACACTGATTCTAATGACGTCATGTCAATCTCTTCCGTCCCTGTATAGTCCTGGCAAAATATTGTTATATCGTTATAATAATATTAAATATCATTTTACAATTCTCTGAGTTAAACAAACAGTAATTAAGTATAAGCTAGAAAGAAAGGGTAAACAATGGAATTTATGGTCTTAAAACATAAAATTATCCAGTGTACAATGTAAAGCATTACATGGTTAAATATCTAAGAAGCAAGAGATGTATCAATTACATTAAGCTTTCTTGAATACATATATACATATGAGTCACATAAAGATTGACGGGTAGGAAATACGGATTTGATATCCATTCCGTTAAAATAGAGAAATATAAATAACCCTAAAGAAAGTCCGAAATGGCAAACTTTGAAAATATTGCAAGCTCGGTTTGATTGGGCCTGCTCATGGGTCCACGGTACTGCCAAGTGCAAACTACCGTCCACACCCCCTAGCACCGTCTTAACGCCTAACTCCGCCTTTCCTTGTTGATCTTGTTTATCATATTTTAAGCAGAATTCAACATTTAAACTTGAAAATGGCGAAATTTTGAATTTTGAAACAACCGCAGATGTGTTCATACTTACATATTGTCTCCAGCGATAAACCTTCTGCTGTTCTCCTTTGATTTCCTCGGCAGTAGTTTCTGCAGTCTGAAACAACACTTTAACATATGTGATAAACAACACCATTGCTTTGCAGAATGATATAGATATAAGTACAAAAATGTGAAACTGCATATAATACATACGTGTATGTAAAATAACTTTGGACTTTGTGATTTTGATGATCTTCTTTTCATTGTATTATGATTATTGATAGAACTATTGTTATTTTAAACATCTACATAATACAAAACAACCGTACAAACATTTTTACCCTTTAACGAGCAAAAAAGTCCATGCATTTGCTGCATTGTAAGATTAAGTTATCACCCATGATCCGATCACTAATCACTTATCTTTTCTAAACATACAATGTACATGTATAAATCACAAATAAAAATAAAAGCTTATAAAAACACTTACAACTGCGTTAAAATTTCCATTATGTGATAAAAATAGTATGCAAAAATAAATAATGCATGTTTTACATTCCATCTTGGCAATGCGAATATTCAATCATTCTATGAAGATAATCTTTAAGCACGCGATGTGATTCAGAGAAATAGGTGAGTTTACATCTGCGGGAATTTATACCTGGAAATTCGCGATTTTGGACCATATGCTTTTGAAATACATTTAACAGGAAAATGTCAGAAGAGAAAAAAAGGTTCTTAATTTGAAAATTACATAGGGGTTTGTAATTATTACAAATAGGTGTCTATTTATTCAGTTTAAACTAATAAAATCTTAGAGATAAAATTAATATTAGCATTGAATTAAGTCTTTGCGAAATCAAGCCTCACAACCCGGCACAGCCCCCCTCCCCCATACACACACAAGAATGCAAAATTTTAAAAACACAGACACGACAAATTTGAATGTGTTTTTTTTTTCGATTTCGTTTACTAGCTTGCTTATTGGAAATAAAATGAGGCTATCCTACTCCCTTATTTACTGTGCATGTACATATTGTTGTAATTTGTAAATATGTTCCTACCAACGTACAGTCATTGTGCAAGCAATGTGAAATTGCCTGAACTGATTGAATTAATTCTTTACTTTTTTAGTTCTTAATGTTAACAGCTAAAGGATAACCTCAGAATCTTATTACCTGATTAGACCACTTCAAATGTTAACTTGTGAACTCCAATTCCTTATCAGCCAGCCTTTTTTATCTATGCCAGGTTAACATGTATTCATTTTCTGGATATTTCAAGAACATGCAGGTGTATGTTTATACGAGGACTGGCAAAAATGTTCCAAAAAAAAAAAAACAAATTATCTAACCATCTAAATTTGACCGAAATGTGTTATTTATACAAAAAAGGAATGAAATATAAAATTTCGCCTACTCGCGCACTTAAAAATGTTACAGTAATATAAGGCTCAAAGCCCTTACCCATGAATCAGCGATTTGTTCTTTCTGTATGAATTTTCGAAAAAAAAGCACACACATACAATTTTTACGGTGCAATCGTTTAAGAATCATTTTTCTGATTCAACTGCGTATTCGTTTTTGAACGGCGATTTGTTCTTTCTTTCTGTATATAAAGTGTTTATATTTTCGTACAAAACTCAATTTTCTTGAGTCAACATTTAAAACAGCATTGTCTGATATTTTTACGTTAGTTTAGAGGGTCCTCTTTACAGCGATATACGGATCAAAGCCCCGACAACAAGCAAAGTGTCCGGGAGACTTCTGCGTAGCATGGTCATTTTTGCAACTTCAATTTTCTCGAGCCAGTCGTTAAAACACCGTCTGTCTTATGTTTTTGCGGATTAGTTTTTCCATCAGTTCGGAAGGTCTTCTTTACAGCAATATAAGGCCCATAGCCCTAACCAAAGAAAAATGTCCGGGAGATTTCCGCGTGTCATAGTCATTCTTTTGGACCGAATATTTGTTCTTTCTTTATATATTAAAGTGCATAAATTTTTGTTAAAACTACTAACACCATTAATATTCTTTTACATAGAGAATAAATAATCAATATGTCTAGATTTATAAAGATTTGGAAGTCTTGGTTTGTATTACAGAAAGAAACTACTTAAAATTCAGTTAAATCTTAATATAACATAGCCATGATGATTTCAGTTTTTGAATACAGGTGTGAGCTTATAGCATTCGGAAAAAGATGACAGATATTTTAATCCCATTTTCTTAAGCTTCACATTTCAAATTTACATATGGAAACTACGATATTCTCTTTGCAAGTTCAGGCATAAAAAATTCACAGACCTGTGGCAAAATTTTTTGAATCAACTCACGCGTTATAAATAGCTCTGGTGACGCTGTGTTGAAGAATCCTTTACAGTGATATGATGTACTTTTTCAAGAAACAATTACTTACTTACTTAGTTTGAAACAACTTACTAAGTTTAAAACAACACGGACTTGTTTTTCCAACAAAAAGAATAAAAGCTGTAGGCCTCTTTAAATTATTGTAGATCTATAACTATTTAATTATACAGAATATTCAGTTAATATCACTGCACCTGATTTCCTATAATAAAGTCCTGATTTGAATTTTGGACAATCCACATGCAAATTAAGGGATGTCATTATCAAAATACAAAAATTAAGCTACCAATAAATAAACTATGTGTTAGTGTCCCAGATCAGCGTGTCTTATTTCAAGAATGATATCATAATAGGAATGAAATTGTCAGATTGCCTATTTTGAAGATGATAGTTTAAGATTTTTTTTAAATTAAGAAGGAGTATTTTCCCGGACTTCAATAACAATTTTCAGAAAGAAAAATCCGTTATTTGGAGATTCCATGTCAGAAAAGGTGCTTAAATTGGTTTTAAATCCAGAAAACAAACAAACATAGACTATGGCCAAAAACCATGATGATATTAAATATAATAGCGTCTACAAAGAAAAAATGGTGAAAATACCTGACAGGTTATACTTTCGTTCATGATGCAATAGTTACAGGCGTCAAAGAACTCTACATATATGTCTCTCGACAACTTGGTATTAGGTACAAAGGAATTTTAAAGATATATGTATATTTATTAAACAATTATTTACAAGTTCGTAAAAGAACACCTTTCAACTGTTTGCCGATGTTATGTACATCGGTCCTAACAGGAGTCCGTTCAAATTAATTAATTTCAGCGTTCAGACTATCTGGAATAGTTTTAAGGTGTTGAAGTAGCTTTCAATGTTACTGTTTGTTCTATTACTGCAAGACCACTTCTAGCCACGCACTTATAATCTCCCGCCATTTTGTCCCGCGCAATATTTGTCAATGGTGCAAAGACATGCGTTGTCATACCATTACCTGGCGTTACTTCTATTGCTGACATAATGTTACCACCTGAAAAAATAAAGTGAAGAAAATGTTAGTACTATTTTGTTTATACCATTCTTAATCATAGCATTTCCAATTCTCTAATCACTATAGAAATATACATTTAAAACAAAATATATTCTTAGCTTGTTTTCCCTCAGATTGATGTCAAACAGTTCAAAGAACTTTAAGATCAAAAACTTTTATTGTAATTTTTCTGGTTGATTGATTTGCTATTCTTACATCGTTAACTTTGAGTGCCAAATTATCCTTAAAAACTAAATAACTACAAATGACCTTTTACAAAAACTTACTTGGATCAGATATTTCTATCTTTGCTTTGGGAACACCAAATGCTGCACAGGTGACTGCCCAGTTTACCAATTCTCTCGGTATGTCAATGGTTTGCTTTGCTTCTTGAAACATCCCCAGTTCATTATGAAACATAACATATTCTACAGGAACAGGAGGCTTGATTACTGAGTACACAGTCTTTGACACTTGCTTAACGTATTTATTTATTTCATCTCCAAAATGTTTATAACTTTCATATTTCGCCTGTATTTCACTCCCATTCTGTATATATTCTGATTTTAATTCTATTTCCATGCCATAGTAATGTTTTGTCTTCTGTATAAAATGATCATAATCATAGTCTCCTTCTTTGAGTAATAATCCTTCATAAAGGTAAGGGTCAACAAATATAAATTCGACGTCTCTGCCATACCGTAGGTTTATACCATCGTCGTCTCTTTCGAATTTCACATAAATAAACTGTTCAGTACACGCCGACTCAGACGCCATTGGCTTATAAACTGGAGGCACCATAGGCCTTACACCTATATCCGGTATCTCAATTTCAACAACTTGTTCTTTTAGCGCTGTGTAATTCAGCCCCAAGACAACTTCACCAATGCTTGAAGAAATGTGGAAGTTTAATTCAGATTCATCTGTGCGTGCATTTAATTCTATTGACGACACATTCATTTCCCCATCACTTGATAATTTACCCAGACTATATGTCAAATCGGATGCTGAAAATATATCGAAGTAAAACTAAATTATGGGTATGAACAATGGATTCAATCAAAATTAATCACGCATTCGTTTTCATAATAATTCTTTATAAGATATAGTGATACTATGCTCAATTTCAAAAGATTGACTGTCATAATTGACCAATAGATGATACTGGATTTTTTTCAGGATAACATAAAAGACCGCCCTACTCATTTTACAGGTAAATCAGATGGATATTTAAAGAAATTTCCTTTTTTCACATGAGTTATTTATCGTTCATTAAGTATATTATATAATTGAAAGGAACTATGGCAAAATGTAAACATATATTTACTTTCACAAAATCATTCACTATATATCCTTTAATGGGCTTAGAGGGGCATAAAATCTCTTTAATGAATATTACTGTGGATATTTGCAATTACCATCTGTTGTTTCTATATTCCAGAATGATACCGTGCTGACCTTTAGCTTGTACTTTATCGTCACCTGGTTTTTACCATCATTACTCGAGACATGTAAAGTTACCGGACGAATAGCGCTGAACAAGTCGTTGAAACCATTCTCTGATTGAGTGTGTAATCCGAGTTGCTGTGAATATAAGAAGGACCATTATATAGGCGACATTCAATACATTGATGTCCTATTCGTATGTATTGTAAATCAATCGCATAAAGATCAAGCACATGTTGTTTTTTCCCCTATTCTGTTCATTTGTAACGCATGCACTTGATATATTTAGTGAAAGTTCAGAGTGGCGGGGCAGAAGTCTAGTTCTTTAGGTACCTTCATTATTGGTTTGGAACATAAAAAGTCTATGAGAATTTTTCTTGAGAATGGACGCTAAAAATGGTCACGTACAAGCAGCAGTGTAAACTAGCTCAAAACTAAAGGATAATATTTAAATATCGCCAAATATTGAACAGCGATTTATCACTAGACAAACATTTTTACATATGTACATAGCAAACATATTAGAAAACAAAATTGAAACTGAATGTAATGCATTCATCAAAATGTTTTTTTTATCATTTTAAACTTTATTGAATCCTATAAAATTATTTTAAAAAATGGCAATGAAGATTAAATGCATTGTAAAATGGTTATAAAAATACTTACCCCCTGGCCTGACGTACATTTAACTGTACACATAACAGTAAGTAAAATAATTCTAGCATCCATGTTTGTTTTACACTACATGCCAGCAATATTTTTATAACAGGTGAATTTCCAGATAGTTTCCAAACATCAGGTCACTTTACTACTGCGTGTTTTAGATATCTTAGAACTCACTGCAGGTAAAATCTGAGATTATAAAATTATGTTCATTTGGTGTTTATGTTGATCAGTAGGTAAGATAAAACAATTATTTACCGGTGCCAAAGGAACATGCACCAGGATGACTTGTACTAGGAAAAACAGAATCCCTAAAGAAAGCCCAACGCGGCAATATTGAAAATGTTTCAGGCAGTTTGATTGGGTCTGTTCATGCACGGTACTGGAAAATGCAATTCACCGTCCACGCCCGCTATCACCGGCGTCAGCAAAATTTAAAATTTAAACACGAAAATGGTGAAACTTTGAACTTAGAAACATCCGCAGATATATTTATATGGCGGTTATCATGGAACCTTCAATATGACACGTTAGTGCCATACCATGAAAAACGGCATATGCCGGCATATGGTCCGCAATCAAAATAAAATGCATGTGCCCTAACCGAAACTAAATGAAATGGAATTTTGAAAGAAGATCAGAGGTTATGAATATCACAGATAAGCTGTCAAAAGACAAAAAGAACAGACAACATATCCTGGGAGTGATTTAAAAGTATTCAAGTGAGGAATATGTCAACCACCAACCGTATCATGGTTGCATGTCAATCTGGAACAGACAAAGTTCTATGAAAAGAAAAGTTAATGCAATAGACGCAACTTCAGGTTAATTTAGTACTCGCAAGTCTCATAAACAACACCAGTAAGTGGTAGTAACTGCACAACAAGTGTTGACGTTTTATCCTCGGGAATAAAGTATGGACCGCCACACAGAGCGCATCATGCTCCTCTATTTCCGGTGAAGAATTATGGGCTTTTAATCTAGAGGGTGTAAACAAAACATTTAAAGACTATAAGAAAATAACAGACTGATTCGTGTTCATATTAAAAGAGGAATCATTTTGCTGTGAACCGTACGTGTCCTTTGTTGTTTTAATAGGTTAATATATCAAGGTCTAGACTGTTGAATTGTCTACGTATAAAACATGGTACTCACCGAAGCCGAAATCCTATACCTGTACTGCTTTGATAGCCTTAAGCAGCGTGCCTCCTGATTCATGCATTGATGCACATTGCAAAAGGCTCTTACAGTCAACGCAATTTATCATAAATATATAGATCAAAACGTGCAAAAATAGTCCTCGTTAGTCATGTAGTAGAAATATGGTGATAAATATTGCAAAATAAATTTTTAATCGCACAAATTATTTCTTGAATCTTGAATCTTATTACTTTCCTTTAATTCTAAGTGCATTTTTCTCAAGATTTCTCTTGGATGTTTCGGGTTATCTGGAGACATGCAACTTTAACTCTTTAACTACGCTGTTCATTGAAAAGTTCTTCTTGAAAATAAATACAGATAAAAATGTATCCTAGGTCTTAACTATATGTAGTATGTATTTGTGTTCATAACACCTTACATGAACTACTATCATAATTTTTTAATCGACTTTCCAATTTATCTGGTAAAGGGAAGTAATCGTAAGAGAATGTAAACTTAGTGGGATAGCATTCCTCTGTTAGTATACCCGCCGCGATTTATAATGGAAGTTAACTTTATATAAAGCTTTAGACAATGTGAAGATTATTTTATCAAATCATTCATGTTAGTTTTAGATAAGGCAAGTGAAATATGTGAGTGAATATTGTATCATATATGCATTAACACAAAATACATTAAATGCATTAAATGTTAAAGGCTGCCTTTTCATTTAATTGTTGTTGTTTTTTAATAAGGAACGCGTAGCATCAAGACTGTTTTCTTGATAAGTGAAACACTTTGTAAACGTTAATTGAAAAAAATGTAGTAAAAACTGCATGTGGAGTTACTCGTTTATTGTGTAGTTTAAAGGTATTTTCAGTGTTTCAGAATAATTGATAAGATTACGACAAAAAGAAACTTATATCAATATAATTTAATCTGTTTAAAATCATATAAAATAGTATTCTTGAGTAATTTATATGGTTAAAAAAACAACACAAATTTATGCATGCATTATCACAACTGTTAATAACAAAGTAAAAGAAAGAGTTTCAATGGGTTAATAAGACCACAATTGAAGAAATGAAAAAGAACAGCATTACATTTGCTTTGTAAAATATCACTTTAACGTGTCACAGTTATTCAATTCCTATTTTAATGAAACGGTTGCGTTTACTGCACTGTAATCAGAAAGATTGATGGCTTATATCACAAAAACTATTTTTGAAGCCTGCCTTTTTTCAGAAAAATCTTCTGGACCCGGTTGTTCAAAACATTGGTTGGTGATAACCAATAAAATTATTATCCACTGGCTAAAAGATGTCTGTTGGATAAATTATGTTGCTCAAAACTTAAGTAACATATAAATGTGTTAAGTTATCCAGTGGTTAACTTTAACCAGTCCTATGACCACCGGATAATGCCCATAACCAGTGGTTAGCCATCATCATTAAAATAGTAAAAATCATTTGAGCATGTTTGATACTAGATTTTTCTTACACATATATTTTTAGTTTTTCTTAACTAGAAAATTTCCTATACATATAATTAAATTAAACATCTCTTTAAAAAGGTGCTTTTGGAACCACTTTTCAATTCAATTCGGAGTTGTTGTTGTTGTTCTGTCAAACAGTCATAACTTTCTCTTTTTTCAATAAAACATACAAGTATCAGTACTCATTTCCTTAGCTAAAATATTGCCTAGCTATTGAAAGCAATTTCAATTCAAAATTTGAAAAAAGAGGGGTTTTTTTTGTTATCGGAAATAAATAACTTTTGAGAAACTGAATTTATCCAACAGACAAATTCTAACCAGTGGATAATGTTTTTATCCGTTTCACTAACCAGTGTTTTGAACAACCAGGTCCAGGTGATTAAAGAGACTTTTTCCTCTTTTTGCTTTTTAAGAAATAAGTGTCAGTCTGTGTATGCCATGTACAAAAGTAATGTTGTCAAATCTACTGCACACATGCAGTTATACGTCATGTAAATATCATATAAATAAAATTTATATCACTCTTTTAAATGACCTTCAGAGAATTATTCACATAATGTTTCTCAATGTTTATAATGATTGGATTTCTTAAAATGACCTGTCTCATCTTTGAAATGATATGATATCTGTAGATAATATGCTTTCTATTGTCTACGATGATTGTTTTGCTCATTCATACATTTTTAATATTCTGATAAAATATTCACAAATTTGCCATTATTTGTAGATACAACAATTATTGAAATCAAGTAATTTTCGTTACAGAAATATCAATCTGCAATTACAAATTGCTGTATATTTACATATATATTGAGCCTGATCACATTTGAGCTGTTAAATTGTGTTATAGATATGTTACTATGGCATTCGCTCTAAACACGGCTCGTGTGGTGGCGGTCTTTCTGTTCTCCAATTTACTCGTGTATTTAGGACTCCTTGCAAATCAAACACAGCAGTCTTGTCAAAGAAATTAAAAGGTTTTAGCATGAAACCAGACTCAACTCTATTTGTCATCGGAGAATCCTCAGATGTTGGTAAATGGAGAAAGCCGACAGACACCCAGTTGACAATATCTGTGTTACGAATAGCTTCGTCGTTTAACATTCTCTCAAGATCTCCAATGGGTTTGTCAAGCCTGTTAACATCACTTGAAGAGGTTGATGTTTGTTCAGACTCTTTTCGTTTTGTAACTGTACAATGGTATTTTGTAAAAGATAATGCTGGCATTGCAGGATGAGCATCGGTGACTGTCTGTGCAGCTGTCGCTAAAGGTTTTATCTGGTAACCTCTTTGTGCACCCCATTTATTCCTTTCATTCTCATTTACAACAACCCAGAACTTAGGCTCATCTAAATTAATTCGATTTGCAGTTTCTTTTTCAACGTACTCATACTGAAGATATCTTGTTATGTTATGTTTGAAATATGGTGGTACTGTATCTACATCGGGAACCTGACTTCGTAAAGCAGTTAAAACATCGGCCGTTTTCCAATGAATAACTTCCATTGTATTGTCCGTTCCAAGAATATCAAGGTCAACTTTAAAACCAAACATATGATCGTGAATTTGTCCATGTGTGTTGGTATTGACTTTATACCCGAAAGCATCCCGGCTTTTATCTGCACCCATAAATGGATTTTCATTGTCCCAAAATGCTCCTTGTATGTACCCACTAGCGCTTACTATTGTGTAAATCTTTCCGTCTAGGTAAAAATGCCATTCAACAATATAATCATAATTATCTATAGTAGCAGAAACTCTAACCACAAGATAGTTATTTCTAAGTCCTCCCTCGAAATCCCATCCCTTATGTCTCCAAAGTGCATTTTCACCGTCGGCCTCGAAAACGCAAATCGACTTGTGTACAACTGACTCAGACAGATAAACGTCCCAGTGACTTGTCTCCAAAAGTGTGGCGTGTTCAGGACAATCAACCGTCTGGATAACACCGTAATATTCTCCTATCCCGTAAGAAGAATCAGTATAGATGACATTAGTTTGAGCAGACGCACCGCTTCCATATATAACACCTATTTCATTCAGAGATAATTCATAAGCAATGCTCATTTCTTTGAAAGAAATCGCATACAGGGCTGGTCCGCGTAATTGACCAGACGTTACAGCAAATTGCCAATCCATCCATTCAACTTGATGACCTTTGATAGAGTAACGCGGACCTTCCGGTTCGTATGTTCGTGGTGCTGGCATGTTCGAATATCTCCTAAAAGGTTCATTACTATCTCTATCTGGTAGATGGCGATCCAAAATGGTTTTCCTGTAACCAGCTGGTAGAGCAAATTTCCTTTTGGATCCGCTGTTATATGCATTCATAAGTGCAGAAGCATTCGCGAAAGGTCCTTGGTTCAGATAATAATAATCATAGACGTACCAACTATCAAAATCATTTCCAGGACAATGAATTGTGGCAGTTAGTGGAAGAAAATCCAATTCTAAAAAGTCATAACCATTGGGTGCAAGTGGGTTTAGATATGATACAAGCCTTGTTTCCCTTTCATCACCTTTATCACCAGGCGGACCATTGAAATACCAGAACGAGAAGTCATTTCCTTCTTTAGGGTAATAGGCTCCGTCAAAGCTTTCTTTAGTCAAAGGGGCGAGTATTTCGAATTCTGGTATCAGGATTTTGTCATAAACGGCTGTTTCAACATAGTCATATGGTCGACTGTTAAAGCCAAGCTCTCCGTCTGCAAACAGCTGCTCTATTGTCATTGTTTGTGCTTGGAGTGGACCAATTTTATATTCCATATAATCCGGAATGGTTCGGTCGCCTCTTACAACATGTACCCTGGCGTACCTAGAACATGAAGAAAATCAAGATTTATATTCAATTTAGATAAATGTCCCAAAATATATCAGCCTTAACTGTAATCGTTGCATTCATTTTAATACAGTTACAACTATACATGTATATAAAAGGGACTCCATCGAAGTTTAAAAGCCTAAAAACATAACATTTGAATTTCTTAGATAAATGAGCTGCAGCACTTTAAACAGAAATATATGCAAATATAGGTAAGAAATATACTTTGAGATAAATAGAAAATCGTATTTTTATGCTTTTCTTAGCCGAATTTAAGTGAAAGCGTTTAAACGTTTTTCATTTTGGGTCATTTTTTACAATTTGAATAATTACTCTGTAAAACCAAGTGCGCGAATGATCTAAAATGTTGCACAATGATTAGAGGTCTAAACCTACACCAAATAGTACATTTATCTGGAAAAAATATTTTCAGTTCCATCATGTCAAAAAAACCTCAGTGGAGTCCCTAATAAGACAAATGAATGATATTATGAGGGTATTACATGCTTTGTGCATAATACTGAATTCTATTGGATGAGAAACACAGCTAAACTTTTATCGGACGAGGCATTACAGAGTCTTATACCGCTTTTGCAGCAGTGTATGAGTTCAAATGAATCAGTGATGTACTTAACAATTTATAACGACCGCTTAATATCATCAGTTTTACATTCAGCAAGGCTTATTTATATTGTAATTGTTTAGCTGGTTTCGTTTTTAAAGAAAACAAATTAATCTTTAAATGGCTAAAATCCTAAACTCCATTTAAATCTGGCTATAGAAGGTAATTTTTGGTATTTAGCTTTTAACAAAACAAAAAAGGCTAGTGGGAATAAGTTGTTAATTGTCTGAAAGTCCAATTACCTCCCTGGATAGGGTCCAGTTCCTTTCTTATATGCCAGCACCTCGCTCTTTTTCGGAGGATTTATGTACATGTAAGGTACATAATTGGTCTTTAAAGATACACTTTCTTCGCTAACGTTACGTTTATATACGTAGTTGTTGTCTACCAAGAAATTATATATTTTCAACATTTCCTCTGATGTGAGAGGTGAAAATATTTCAGGATCGGAGCCATCCCATTCCATACGCGCTTGGCGGCTGAAAATTATAAAAAACATAAAGGAAAGGGTGATTAATTGAAGTTTTTCGCTATAATAAGTGAAATAGATATCACGTAAACTTTTAAGAATACGTCAGATTGAAAATGTAACACCCTATGTTCTGCTGAGCCTGTTTATAGACGGTAATACTAAATATACGCTTCTTAGTTGTATTTGTAAGGGATGTTCCACTTTTTCATTATCCCTCATGTACAGACTCAATCAAATTAAGTCTGCATTTTTTATGTAATTTTACTGTTTTAAATGCTTCCAAGGGATCTCTTTTTTCTAGACATTTATTTTTAAGTATGATAACTGTTTTGTAAACAATAGTTGCTGGTTGTATAAATACTTACCTTTTACATTTCTTGCAGTCATCTGAAGGTTGAACTTTATCAGTGGTAGTAACTTGCGGTGACATTGTCGTAGGCTTTGCTGTAGGTCTTGGTGTTGTTTGTCCTCCCATCATTGAATCGGGAAGATTCTGGAATATATATAACAAATATTTTAATAAATTGGATCATATTAAAGCGTTAAATTAGCTTTATATTCGTTAAAGCAATATTATTTTCAAACTAGGATTTCATTTGTTTGTTGTTTTTTTTTCTCTTTTATTTTTCAATCATAATATACAAACATTCAAATCATAGTTCATGTAATTGAATTCATAAAAAAATAATGTCAAATCAATGTTATCAAATAATGACAAGTATATTTGTATCTTAAGATCTTTTTATAAAAGATTTTGACAGAAGAAAATGAGTGCTAATAAAAGCTGATAGTATTATAAAGTGTATAGTATGTATGAAAGAGAGAAAAGAAAGTGTTTAAAGAAAGGAAAGATAAATGAAGAATAAGAAGAAAAGAAAAGAGAGAAAAGATAAAGATTAGTTATGTCCCTATTAAAAGATACAATGTAGTTGAAAAAAAATTTCATTTGTTTGTCTGTGTAACTTCCACGCTTATTGTAACTTCCATGCTTATTATTAACAGTCATTTGTTGGAATATATCTAACATTCACGCTATACATGTATATCTATTAAGTATACCATAACATTATCAAATAAGCAAATGTTTTTTTAAAATGATTTAACAAATAGGTGTACTTTCAAATTATATGCTTATTTTTAAATAACAATATTGCTAATTGAATTACGATTTTAGTTTAAAAGAGATAAAAAGAACGTGTATGTAGCACGATGCAATGTGTATATAAAGTGTGATTAAATAGTTTGAAGTTAAGACGTCTGTAATTGACGTGTATGCAAATTTTCTTCAGTTCTTCTTTGTTTGGGCTAGCTTAACCATATAGCTAATTCGTCCAGTATAGTACGCTTGTGGTTTCTATGGCAACCTGTGGAAAGCTAAGATCATTCGTGTCGACTTACTTATTTATACATAAATAGTTCCAATAGGCCTTCTTTTACAGAATAACTGGCATTCACATTTACATTTTGCACCGAAAGAGACCGTATGACGATGTTATATGACGCAAAGTCGCTAAATGTCGCACTTGCCGCAAAATGTCTCAATGTATTTTGCAATTAAATGTCGCAATGATGACGTTAAAGGTCTCACCATTTTCCCTTACCGTTAAATGTCACAACACTACCGATAAATGTCGCAATATCTAAATCCATGTTAAACAACTTGTATTATGTCAATAATAATGTTATCTAGGTGATCTGGGGACCAGTTATCTATCAGATAGGAAAGGATTTGCTGTGATGTACAAAGATAATTGGTTGAAACGAAGTCATCTTAGTCGGTACCAAAATTTGTGCCAAAGAGCCCCTTGGTGATAGGTTAAACATAGTTTATTTCGAACAAATTCACAGTATATATACAGATAATAGCAGAAATAATGTACACAATACAAACATGAATTTTGAAAAAGGATAGGGACCGAAAGCTGTGCTTATAATTAAAGGCCTTCTTATAGATTTACAGAGCATAAAATAGGTATGACAGTATACGTGACTTGCTTGAAATATATTTAATATAACATCCTTTTTAAGTAATTAAATCTAACATTTAGTTATAATGCAAAACAAAAATATGTACAAAAAAATGCCTGATGACAGAAAAAGATGTTTATGCCAAAGGTGCATGGAAACAGCTTTATATTGACATGTAGACAGATTGAAAACTGTATAGCAGAATTTGTTTAAACCTTTGAATGAGCCAAGATCAAAAGCATTTGTGCAAATATGACAACTGCTAACAACACTGCACCTTTACACTGCTGGGACCGAAATGATTGTACCAGTAAAGAGATACATGTAAGTCAGGCTGAACATCCGTGTAGACTGAACCGGCTCTGTACTTATGACTGACTAACTGTAGAAATATCTATCTCAGTCGAATATAAAAATTAAATGCCTCCTTTAGCAAAAATGCCCCCAGGTTAATATTTGCAAGCAAAGTGCAGATAAAACGTTTTTTGAAACGTTTATGTTTTGCAAATTTCAGATGATTCTGTTATATACATAAAATAAAAAGTAGAAAAAAAACTGTAAAGTCAAAAATTTCCAAAAAAAATATATATATGTTCTCTTTAGAATTTCATGACGTAAATTGATTGTTTATATTTTCATTAATATTGTTGTGTATAAACTAGTTCAAGACATAACTTTGAAAATTAGCCTCCTTACCAATATCAATAAGGAAATGGCACATATTGCAAGCTTGCTCTTTAATAAATGGGCGGACAAGTACTTCCATGATTAGCAGAAATAAACATAATAACAACTTTGTGACTTGTTTCTTAATGAGAAGTTTTAAAGACTCTGTAACGCAATATTTTATGTGTTTTTTTTAGCATAAATCAGATTTTCAAAAATCTGATGTTCAATATTGTAAATTTAAAAAGCATAATTTGAATTTAACATTTCATGTAAATAAAGGGATATAATTAGAAATTTATTTTCGATAAAGTCTGAGCCAGTAATTTTCATTGAAAGATTGAATGCATTAATATTAACGTTTAGTTATAACGTAAATAAACATTTGCTGTACTTATTTAAATCCAATTCTTGGGATGTTTCGAAATTGTTTTAGAAAGATAACTTTATACATATATAAAACTTCACGTAACTGGACACTTACATGATATGACTCCGAGCAACCTAGAGTAGTTTGTTCGCGAGGATAAGAAGACAAGATTTGAGCTGATATGTCGGGGCCTTGAATATTCAGGGCCATAGCATGAGGTTGGGAATTTCATATTCGCCCAAAGCCTATTTAGGAGATGTGTAACCCACAGTGGTGAGGGGCAAGTCGATGTTTAACGGCAGAAGATTTTGCGATATTTAGCGGCAATGGTGCAAAATTTGGCGGTAAGTGCGACAATTATTTATTAGTGGCAGTGGCGTTGCGACATAATAACGACGCCGCAGACCGCAATGGTGAGAAGAAGCGCGCAATGGACAAATGGACTTAAATAGTAAAACTTATTGACATTTGCTCTACTATTTGCACTATAAAATGTGAAAGATTGAACAAGGAATTGTTTAAAATGTCTTATATATCTTTATGATATTCTATGTGTTATAGAACGTATGCTTAAAAGCTAATACTCCCAATACATGTTATTTGTTTTGTAAACGTAGATCGAATCATAAAGTCACTAATTATCTGATCATCTGTACTTTTGTAGTTTGATTTAGTTTTGCGGACAGTGTCAAACAAAAAAATCAGTAGCAACATGTTTGCAATCAATCTGTCCCAGAATCAATATATCAATGCATTAATGCTGAAAAAAAAAATATCATTTAAAATTGATGTTATAAAATCGACGAATTTCAAAATAATATTTTTTTTCCGAAACATTTTATTCTGTTAACGTACATTATTCATGTGTGTTAAATAACAGAGACATTGTATGTTGCAACTTTGTCGGGAATCAACCATATAATAATGGAACCTATATAATTTTACTGTTGATAAATTTTATTAAGTTTCATAAGATCTATATATTTATACCCTATGTTGTTTTCCTTACTTGGTTGATTTTAAATCCGATTGACTGGCTATTAAAGGCTTCTTTCATGGGCGGTGCGTTCCAATCGTACAGTATCGTAATTAATGTACCATTTATTTGGAGGAAAAACACTTTGAAGTGGTTTATATAAATGATATTTGTGTACTCCTATTAGCTATTAATTTAAAAATCCACATAAAATGTTTCTTTTAAGATCTTTACACGGCTATTTGAATGTACAGATTATTTATTAAAGAGTGCAAATTTATTCATTTTAATTATTTATCTGATTTCCCTTTTCTGTACTATTCTAACCAAATATGTGCATATTTTTTATTGCAAGTACATTATGTGTGGAAAGGAATTTACATAAGTCACATTTGACTTGTTTTCCAATCCACGAAATATATCAGTGTGATTGTATATGCTTACTGTATATATTTATGTTGTAAAATAGTAATAAAATATTGTTTAAACTAAAGAGTGCAAACTTAAACCGTCTTTTCAACAATTTGATGTTCTCATAAACAAGTTTTAGTCGTATGTTTGCTTCGTTACTTATCGTTCCTTTTCTTTCATAGAGTGATTGGTCATATTCAAAGATTGCAGGACTTCATTTACACTCGATATCTGTTATTTAAGATGCCCAGAATTTACAAATCATTTAAACCATTGAAAACAATGTTTTAGACACATTATGGGATATAACGTTTTCTCATTTTTAAATTTTTGCGTCTGTAATTAACTGATATGGCCGAAAGTAAGATTAAGTTAAATTCTAATCATAACGGCAAAAATTTAGTATGATTTTGGGGGTTTATAAGATGAAATCAATCAACAGTATTCAGCATGTACACCAACGGTAAAATGAACATACGGTTTGTTGTAAAGTGATTATTTCAGGAAAATCAATCTGTTTTATAGTAATTGCTACAAAAATATAATTTATCGATGAATAAAAAAGAAAGATATACTTTGGCATAGGTGAAAGTCAAATTATTGCTAATATTGTAAGAAACCTTTGTGCATTTGATATGACTTTCCACGATTGCAAATGATGGTCCCTTGATATTCCAAATTTTTGTACGCAGTTTTTAATGCCATTAGACCAATCTGACTAAAGTTCAGATCTACTTATTTCTTTTTATGTAGATCTTATGACGACCTTATATGTTTCGACCTCTTTATTATTCGGATTAGACGTAAATCTTTTGTTTCCAGATTTTTTATATTCATCCCAATATTTTTAATCTTGAGGGATTAATGGATGAATTGTGACAAAACAATACAACTTGAACTATCTCTATTTTGTGAAAATATTATATCTAAATTTAGATTATACTTCTCATGCTCCAATCCTTTGAAAATTTCATTGTAAATGAGTATTGATCTCTTACTTTTGTTTATTAATTCTGCCTTGTCATAATTGTATTCTTTTATATATGATATAAGTTGATTTTCTTTTATGACTGTTATTTTTTCTGTTCAACAGTTTGTTATAACGAGTTGCATAGTATACATGCCTTGGTTTAATGAAAAATTGAAACTGAAACTTCTTTTTGGCATTTTAACTTGTGGATGCAAAAAGGGCATTAGTCACTCACGGCATGTCCGTCCGTTTACATTTTTAAACAATACATGTATTTTCATCTGAACCTTTGTGTCAACCTCGTTAAATCTTCATAGAAGTGTTTCATAGATGATCGCCTTTTTAATTAAAAAAAAAACATCCTGTGCTTGTCAAAGCACCTTAAAGCAAACTGTTCGGTAATCGAATACAAATCAAATACGAATACGTCCACTTGTTATCTTATATCATAAAACTTACACTCTATTCACTAAAAATACGCCCGGTATAACACCGTCTATTTGTATACAAGGACAACTGTTGATGGTGATGATTTTGCCATAGCTAATTTTATTTGGTTTTCAATACTATTGATATATTGATCTGCCCAAATAGGCTAAGAAGAATCATTTGCATCTTAAAGAGTAACGAATCTTTATAAAGAAAAAGATATTAGTCTGAAATTAATATGACACCAAAGACAATGATAATTATGTGATTAGGTACAAAAATTCTTTCAAATAATTATGATTCGTTGATAAAAATGGCCCATAGGGAGCTTTCTGCTCTTTTTTCTTGCATGTTTTGCAAAGAAAAAGTATAAGACTTATTTGCGTTGTAAATGACCATTTTTCTCAAAAGAAAACGCAAAAATACAGTTTACCTTACAGTTGACCTCAGCATCACGACCACCATGATACGCATAAATCCCTATTAACCCATTACGTCATATACACGCCTTTTAACGCCTTTTTCACCCCCCCCCTTTTTGTTGTCTCAAATGGTGAAAAGATGCCTTATTTAGGCCCCCAACACTTGTTTTTGTTTGAGAAATGTTGTTAAAAAAGTGACCACTTTTTCGGCGCGGCCCCCCAACCAAAAGATACATCAGGGGGTTGCCAGAAGGGGGATGTGCCCCCTTCTGTTTGGGTGGTTTGAAGGGGGGCGGAGTCCCCCTCATCGCCAAGAAAATTTTGGACTTGTGAGAGGCTATAAATGACCCCAGATTGATCATAAGGTAACGTGTAACCAACGCTGAAAAGCATTTGACTCTATCTCAATTCATTGAGAAGTTGCAGCACTTTGAAATCAATTATGATGGAAAAAATCAATGCAAAATAGTGATTTTTGGCAATTTTGAGATGTCCCCTCGTTGCCATGGTAACAGAAAATTTACGCCTGAGTATGTTGTTGCAAGGGCAATGGTCCAGTCAACATTTGTGCCAAGTTTGATTAGTGTTGAAGCAGTTTTTATAGTATTATAGCAATTTGAACTTGTAACGGGAGACTTTTCAATGAAAACAGCCATTTTTCACAAAATGCTCATGAAGTAATGGGTTAATATACCTGCAACCAAACCCACACAAAACAATATCACTCCGAACAATTGCGCGCAACAAAACCCGCTTTTCGCCGTCATTTTAGTGACCTCTTCTTATTTTTTATGATAAATTGTATGACTCGACGTTCGGAATAATTAAACGACTGTCTTTTTTAATGTTATCAAATCGATTGTTAGCTTTTAATGTCGTGAAAATTATTTATGTGAAAGTGAAACATGTAGCAAAAACTAAATGCACTTTTGTTATTTAAATTTGATATGTAGTCGTTAAATTTTATCTTAAATGTTATTTTATAGTTGCACTTTGAAGCAGTCTCGCATACCACCTAAAGTACAAATCATTACACCGTGTCGCCATGTTATTAAATCGTGAAATAAGATAAGTTTCATAACAGCCTCAAGGTCAAATATATGTGCTAAATATGATTTATCCAAAATATATGTCAGCGGAAAGAAATACTATGAACATATAGCGTGCAACCAAAAAAGCATCAACGTTACGCCAACCAAATCTTGAGTTTATTTTTCAACTTACTATAGGCACATACCTGTAACTTAAATCTTTATTAATAATATCTATAGGAACTAAAAACTTTGAAAAAGAATATTGTTTGGTTTCATTCATTCGTTCGTTCGTTCGTTCGCTCATCTTCCTTCCTTCCTTCCTTCATTCAATTCATTCATTCATTCATTCATTCATTCATTTATTTATTATTTCTAAAATGTTATTTTTAAAATGTTACTTTTCAAATGTTGCCAAATTTACATAAGATTCCCGGTTCTTAATAAAATAGACCTTGTTGAGTACAAAAACTGTATTCTATTGGACTCGAACACACCTCTAAAGCTTTTATAGGATAAGGTGCTAGCTGAGTAAAGGTTAATTGGTAATCAAAGATTGAAAGAACATCTACTTTATCTTCTTTATCCACCCAGCGATTTATTTATTTATTTATTTATTTTTTTTACCTAATTTTTTTGCCGATTTTCTTATATAAAAAAGTTTATGTTAAAATAATTTTCGGTCTCTTGACTTAAAACATGGGATAACAAATATATAAGGCAATTCCATGAAATTGTACTGTGATCTATATGATAAAATGATAAGCATTATCAATAGTAGAAATAAGGTTTTATGTTGTCTCCCCTTGAAATTAATTAAAATAATTTATATAATGTAAGGTAGATTCAATGGCAGATGACCAGATAACTTTAAAACGAAATTTATTTCGCACTTTATGTTTACAGATTTTCTAAAGTTTATGTAACTGTAGCGTACGCCATTAAAATTACATTGAACTGATAGCTTTCATCAATATTGTACAAATATTTTTTTTCTATTCGTCGTCGAATATCGAATTCATCATTTTTTGCGTTTTAAACCTTCTCCACAAACAGGAATCTATTTTAAAAGATAAATTTGCATATTTCGAGTATCTGTCAAACCGCTGTTTACATTATATTTGTGTTTTTAAAAGTGGCTTAATGCTCTACGGTGTTCCGGTATGGCTATCGCTGAATGTGTAATGTTAACATAACGAGGCTACGATTGTAAAAGCTAGAAAAAGTTATGGTTAACTGGACAAAAACCGTAAAGTATGTTGTCAAATCGGAAGAACATTAATATTTTGTGGTTGTTGTTGTTGTTGTTTTCTTTGTTGGTCCGGGTGCGTCTCTATTTTGTCATTAAAACAAATTATTGTTGAAATACTAAAGGGGCTCCACTGAAAAAGATTATTGTCGAAAAAGGCGTTAGATAATGGTCTGAAAATTTGCAAACAAACCTGGACACAAAGTGATCCCTCGGAAGCATTAATTACAACAAAATAACATGAAAATTGCAGACTCGGTTTGATTGAGTTTGTACATGAGGGATAATGAATAAGTGCAACATCCCTCACGCCCTCTAGCACCAGCTTGAGCGGTACTCAAGAGCGGTACTCAATTCTCAACACTTAATAGTGCTGGCATCAATAATCCCGAAGGACCAGAAAGATATAACAACACTGAAGTGAAGTACGGGGCAACTTTTTACAACTGCCACACGGCACTTAACACCTGCTGTTGTGAAGTATAAAAATCTGGAAGCAAAGTGATCCCTCGGAAGATTTAGTTATTGCTCTAGATCTAGGACTACATCAAATGGTACACAAATCTTAGAACATATTTTCATTCCCGTCATGTCAAAAAATCTCAGTGGAGTCCCTCTACCAGAACAGAGAATTTTTCATTATTCAAATAAATAAACAGACAAAGTGAGCTCCATAAACGGCTACAAATGTATAATATCGCCATATCAACAACATGGAAAAATACTAATTAATGTAAGTGATACATTTTACAGTTGACAACAATTAAAACCATTGCTTCATTGTAATTAATTCAGTCGTGTATGTTTGTGGTTTTATGTTATTGTTCTTTGTGGTAATCAGTCACACTCATGTTCGTTTTCTTGTACCTAGTGGTGATGTCAGGACATTAATTAGCCGCGTCAAGATAAAACCAACATAATGGGTTTGCGACCAGCATGGATCCAGACCAGCCTGCGCATCCGCGCAGTCTGATCAGGATCCATGCTGTTCGCTTACCAACCCTTTTACATGAAGAGAAACTGATAGCGAACAGCATGGATCCTGATCAGACTGCGCGGAAGCGCAGGCTGGTCTGGATCAATGCTGGTCGCAAACCCATTATGTTGGTTTTGTTGTGACGCGGCTAATTTTATTTAACAAAATATTATTTATTTATTATTTCAAATTCAAAATTAAGACAACACCATTATGGAAGTAATGCATAGTCTACGCAAAATTATTTTAGCGATTATTTTTTCAGATTGTTATATAAATAATAAATTATTGAAATAAATATCCCGTTTATAAAATGCTTACCTTGCATGTAACTTCAGCATCCGGACCACCGTGATACACATATATTCCTATCAGTATGCCTGCGACAAGTCCAACACAAAACAACAATGCTCCGAATAACTGCGCGCAACAAAACTCCCTTTTAGCCGTCATTTTACCTTCTTCAACCTCCGGTCCTCTGGATGATAGTTTGTACGAATCTCTATTTGTATAATCCATCAACCGTTACAGCTCCAATGTAGACTAAAGTAGATATGGTTTCATGCAAGACTTAAGGTTAGTTTATGTGTGCATTACTATAACCGCCGACCATATAAAATGACCTGGTGTCATGCCGCATCTAAGTCATTTAAAAATTGTTCATGCTCTGTAAGTTTTAACTCGTTTTGTCCATTTACAATGGCAGTAAACACGGACAAAAGTATAACTGACTGTATTTTCTTTCGATAAGTACGCGTTTTATGCGTGATGTGCATATAAAAGCTGAAATCTACGGAGGTCTGTTAGGGCCATTTGTAGTTTAAACTTGACATTTCGTTATTTGATTCTTCAACTCGGCACTTAAATAAGAGATGTTATAATTTTGAAATGAATGAGGTGGGATTTCATTTTCTTTATCACGGATGAAGAAGAAGATACCTCGAAAGCTTTAAGGTCAGCAAAATTAATCAATTTATATATATATAGATAAAATAAAGGGGGCGTCCGTGGGCGAGTGGTTACAAACTTGCCCCTCACCTCTGTGGGTTCGAATCCCGACAGGGACTTTGGATACTCTCATGTGAGGAAGCTATCCAGCTAGCTTACGGAACGTCGGTGGTTCTACTCAGGTACCAGTTCGTGCCTAAAATAATGCACGACAGGGCACCTGAGGCCTTCCTCCACCAGTAAAGCTGGAACGTCGCGATATGACCTCTACTATGTCGATGTGACGTAAAACCCAAATAGATAAAATAATAATGTTTAAGAAATAACAAACTCTATGTTATTTCTTAAACATTATTATTTTATCTATTTCAACACTGCACAAGGAACATTTATCACGTTTTAATATATACATGTATATAGTTTAGTTTGAATTTTGGTTTAAGCAATAACAAAGTGCAGTTACATATCCAATGGTAAATTAGTAAAATAAGATAAGTAAAAGTAAAAACTAATAATAAACTCAATCAATTTTATGACTTAATAAACTTTTGTGAATTAGGAATGATTTGTTACAGTTAATTAAGTCAGCAATCCAATAGCAACATTATATGAATCTAGGTCTATTTTAAATTTGTTGGGATAGATAAATATACAAAAAAGAACCGCGTAATATTTAAAATTTCATTTACACATTTTCAACATTTCTATCATTTTGCACTGCGCATACAGTTGTATAACTAGATCGAGATTTAAAAAAAAGACACAAAAAAACACGATATGTCACTGTGGCCTTTTCCTATGCGGGAAAATCATTTCTGTCCCTTGTTATAATATGTCTGACCGGTGACCTACAACAATTGAACTTACTGGTTTTTAAACTTTTCTTCAATTGTCTTAAACTTGATACAATGCTTTATAAAGGTAAGAAGAAATAACGTGGAGATTTATACGGCCAAATTCAATAAAAATCGTGCTTTAAGTTAAAACAAATGCTGAATCTCATACAATGTACATTTATTTCTAAATTTCTGCCACGACAATGCGAAAACACAATGAGAGAGTAGTTGGGTTTTGCCGTATCGCGTTTTCCCATTTTTTTGCATTTTTGTGGCTTAAAATTAAAAATACATGGCATAAATCAGCCACCATATATAATAAATCTTGACTATAAGAAATGTTTCATATACATTTTAGTCCGTTATAAAACTGCTGAGCATAGTCAATAATGCACATCTCTTTTAAATGGGATATAATTCATATTCTCCAGAAGAAAATAATAAACCTATATAGAATTTTAAAAATTATACAGATTATCAATAATGATAATCTCGTGCAGTGGTCGAGTCTGACGGTCATAATACCGCACGTTTGTACACTCATTCTCACTTAAGTACGACATTCCATGTCTTCAATGTTCTATGAAAATTTGTGGAGATATTATAAGCCCGAACATTCTTGTAAAATGTTTTAACAATTGGTACTGCATCAAAGATTTTATTTGAGCTCAAGTTTACTAGCCTATTGGTTTGATTTTGCTAGTGACAATCGCTCCTTGCAAAAAACAGCATGTCTTCAACTAAATCGAAGTATGTTTCATTGCACGTATCTTCGTACAAATAATCGTGGTTAACAGTAAACATAGCTTATTTTAGTTATTCTATTGCAGATTTTGACATATAAAACTGTTTTTAGTATTACGAAAATTAATTTCCTCAAAATCAAATTTGAATTGCTTGTCTTCAAAGTCGAAATAATTTACGAGTCTTAATTGCAAAACAATGTTAATTATACATGGTAACTTATAAATGGTTATTTCAATAGCAATATTAAGTCTACAGTAACATAGTTAACATAAAGTATGAAGATTAAGAGTATCTGTGTTACCATTTTGTTAAGGATTTCACGTTAATTTGGATTTTACAAGCGTATTTTTTAGAAAATCATTTACGAGTCTCATCAATACCATGCGTTTTGCAATATATTTTCAATTATTTCATTGTTATAATACTTCAGATATCTAGAGCGGATATTTGCCATGCTTATATTCTGTCATTCATGTAAACCTTTCCACAATTTCTCATAAAATTCCCTTGTCAACAGGAATTCTCAACATTTACGAGCCTATCATTTACGGGACTCACCCTCTTTCACATTCTCTTGTGATTTATTCTGCTAGATTTGTTGAATTATTTCAACTTGTTAATGGACGTTGGTATTGTTGGAATAGTATTCTTCCACGAAAACAAAGAAGTATCCATGTTTTTTAAACATACGCATCTGAAATGTGTTTTTTCACTTGCAGATAGCTTCTAAAAATCATAATTTTGATATTGTAGTTGGTATTCAGACGTTTTGACAATTATAGAGTTCAATGGATACTTACTTTCATATGCGAATACATTCAAACTAATACTTCAATCACAAAATGAAGTAAACATGAAAACAGGCGTGTCCCGTATCTGGCTGAACTGTCCCGTATCTGGCTGAACTGTCCCGTAAATGGTAAAATTAATTTGGAAATATTCATTCGATATTGTATTAATTGTAAGATAGAAGGTTCTTTGGAGCAGATATAGTGAGAACTAACTAGTATTTGTCCTTAATTAAATACATTCTGAAAACTTTATAACATTTTCATAGATGTTTCATTTAAATGGACAATGACTTTTCATGCATCTTGATATAAAATACTTAAGTTTATCTAGATACTTAATATCTGTTTAAACAAACATACTGTACATTGTTTTGCAGTTCAATTATAAGATAATAGTAATAAGATTGACTTGTCCCGTAAATGACCAGAGCAAAAGAAAATTATAAATCAGTGATTTTTCTAGGAGGAAAAATATTTGATTTGATTCGTACTATTGTTTTCGTTTACACTAACTTGGTTTTTATGCAAATCTAGCAATTTTGTTGAACTTCTAAGACCATTTATACGATCTTTTACTCATTTTTTTTACTATTTTCAGTTCAATTGTTTAAATATTGTTAATATTGCCCAACCTTGCCAAAGGAATATCTGCTCCATTTCATAAATAAAAATAAGTTAATCTTAAATCATTATAAATATATAATTTAAAGTATTTACATTTCTTTCTGTCAATCCATAGCATCTGGAGACTGAGTCACTTACGGGACAATCATTTACGAGTTCTTAATAAATTGTCAATATATGAGATGATGTAAATTATTTCACATTAGACAATTGAATAATAAATAAGTAGGTACTTCCAAGAATTCGTCAGTAATTTTCACATTTTCTTACTCGTCTATTGTATGGATCTGTGGATTTTGTAACGTTATTCATTTTGAAAATGAGATTTAAGCATATTCGTTATGAAATGCATTTCCATGAGTTGTTTTTAAAAAGATGTATTTTTGTCAGTTCAATGATTGATTCTCATTTCCCGATGTTCATATAAATAGATGATAGAAAGTTTATTTAAAGAGACAAAATAAAATCGCCATACCATATGCACAAATTTAAGGACCATTGTCTCGAAAATGACGAAATTTATTTTCTGGTTCTATCTAGAAAACCTGTCATAAGGAAAAATCTAGAACATCTGTACTGGTAATATTTTATATTTAAGATGTCGAGATACATGTACTTATAATTTTGGAATGGAATAAAATTTTATTTTTTATTTTAATGAGTGTGTAACGTCGCTTTTTATTGGATAATCGTGACGTTGCTACTGTCAATTTATGAATTTATGAAGAAATCTCACTATTTTCTCCGAAGAGAGATGCTTGCTGTATTTTAAATTCGTTATATATATCTGACAGGTTATATGGCCCTTTATGAACGACTGTCTGCGATATAGCTAGGGTTATATCTCAAAAAAACACTTTAATATGGGGCCATATAACCTGTCGTACATTTATCGGCCGATAAGCAGAATAACTGTGTACTAGTATGGGGAGATCAATAAAAACAACTACAGTTTATAAAGTGAAAAATGGGCAAAGTTAATTATGCCATTATAACAAATATCTGTTAAGCAGAATCATATCCCCATATGTGGCTGAAAAATTCCGCAATGATATAATCTGGATATTGAACTACAGAATAAATTAACATAAAAGCAAAAGTGGCGTATAACTACCGAACTGAGAACTTGTGTTTAAGAAAAAAAAAATATAGCCACAATGTCATAAGAGATTTTATCTAGCTATAAACTATATATGAGCCGCGTCATGACAAAAACCAACGTTATGCGTTTGCGACCAGCATGGATCCAGACTAGCCGGGCGCATCCGCGCAGTCTGATCAGGATCCATGCTGTTCGCTATCAGTTTCTCTACTTGTAAAAGAGTTGGTAAGCGAACAGCATGGATCCTGATCAGACTGCGCAGATGCGCAGGCTGGTCTGGATCCATGCTTGTCGCAAACGCATTACGTTGGTTTTGTCATGACGCGGCTCAATTTTATTTAAAAAGACAAAATATAAAAGTGCACGCATCGAACATAATACTGATATTTCATATCTGTATCTTAAGAAATAATATATTTAAGGTCATCTCATACTAGTATGTTCGTGTTTTGAATACTTAAAATGTTGCAACATCATTGCATGTACTTTTATTAGTCTTATGTCACAGTATCTTTTACCCCGGTACGGAATATTAGACCCAACCTGTTGTAGAAAAACAATTAAAAACATTTAAAGTGCCCTATTTAAAATCATTCCTTTTTTGATTTGTTATACTTAAAGTAAATATATATTACACCTGTGTATGTTTTTATATGATAGCTGGTTCTTT